AACCCAACTAATCTAAGTCCACTTTCTAGTAACAATATATGACCTAATGAATAGTACCAGGCCCTCATTATATGGTGTTCCCAATTCCTCCTTCTCTTCCCTTATAACATTTTTTGCCATTTATTTCATTTTTCCATAAACTATAATCACCTCATCTATTGTTGCTATTATTATTTTGAATAAACTTATCATTCAGAATGAAAAAAATTTTATTTACTTTCATTTATTCTTTCTCTAATGTTCTTCTTTTCTTATATAGATTTAAGTTTCTGGCCTATATCATTTCCTTCTCTTTGAAGAATTTTTAAAATTTCTTGCAAACTCCTTCAATTTTTGTTTTTCTGAGGGTTTTATTTCTCATTTGCTTTTAAAGGATAATTCCTTGGATACAGAATTCTTTATTGTTTTTTTTTTTTCTTTCAACACTGAATATTTCACTACATTCTTTTATTTCCTTCATGGTTTCTGAGAAGAATTCCAATGTAATTAATTCTTATACTTGTTTCTCTGCAGATAAGTTTTCTCTCCCCTAATCCTTCTTTTGAAATTTTCTCTTTGTCTTTGATTTTCTGTAGTTTGAATAGAATGTGCTTAAGTTTGTTTGGTTTGGTTTGGTTTTGACATTTATCCTGGTTGGTGTTCTCTGAGATTCCTACATCTGTGATTTGGTGTCTATCATTTATTTTGGAATATTTTCAGACAATAAAACTTCAAATATTTTGGGGCACCTGGGTGGCTCAGTCAGGTAAGTGGCTGCCTTTGGCTCAGGTCATGATCTCAGGGTCCTGATATTGAGCCCCACATCGGGTTCCCTGCTCAGTGGGGAGTCTGCTTCTCCCTCTCCCTCTGCTGCTCCCCCTACTTGTGGTCATGTGCATACACACTCTCTCTCAAATAAATAAACAAAATCTTATATACACAAACAAAAAAACAAACAAATTTCAAATATTTCTTCTATTCCTTCTTCCCTTTCCTGTCCTTCTGGTATTCCCATTAGATGTATGTTACACCTTTTGTCCCATAGTTCTCAGATATTCCATTATAATTTTCATTCTTGTTTTCTCCTTGTTTTTATTTTTTTAAAATTTTATTTATTTTTAAATTTAAATACAATTTATTAACATATAATGTATTATTAGTTTCAGATGTAGAGTTCAATGATTCATCAGTCCTACGTAACACCTAGTGTTCATTACATCATATGCCCTCCTTAATGTCCATCACCCAATTATCCCATCCCCCAACCCCCTCCCCCCCAGCAACACTTGGTTTGTTTCTTGTGATTAAGAGTGTCTTATGGTTTGTCTCTCTCTCCATTTTGTCTTTGTTTTTAGTTTAGAAAGTTTCTAATGACATTTTTTTGAGCTCAGTGATTCTTTCCTTGGACTTGTCCAGTCTACTGATGAATCTGTCAAAGACATTCTTCACTTCTGTTACAGTGTTTTTGGTTTCTAGCATTTCTTTTGGTTCTTTCTTAGAGCTTCCATCTCATAAATTACTCCCTTGTTCTTGCGTGTTGTCTACTTTTTTCATTGGACCTCCTAGCATATTAACCATCATTATTTCAAATCTCTGGTCTGATAATTCCAAAATATCTGCCACATACAAGTCTGTCCTCATGCTTGGTATGTCTATTCAGGCTGTGTTTTTGCCTTTTAACATGATTTGTACTTTTTTGGTTAAAAGTCAGACATGATGTATTATGTAAAAGGAATTGAGGCACAGGCCTTTACTGTGAAGTTTTATGTTTATCTGGTAAAATTTAGGCGGTGTTCTCTGTGTGCTGTAGCTGCAGGTGTTCTTTGCCAGTCAGTCACCCCACCCCTACCCCTTCCCCCTTGGGCAAACACTGTTCTGATTTTATCACCATAGATTAGTTTTGTTATTTTTGAACCTTATATCTACAAAATTAAATAGTATTTACTCTTGTATGTCTGAATACTTTTTTAAATGTAATGTTCTCCAGATTGATTTATGTTGTTGTGTTTATTGCTTTTTATTGCTAAATAATCATATTCTACTATATGAATACACATAATTTGTTTATTCAGTTGATGAACTTTTTTTAAAAAGATTTATTTATTTATTTTTAGAGAGAGAGAGTGTTTGGGGGAGAGTGTCAAAGAGAGAGACAGAGAGGGAGGGAGAGAAACAGACTCTCTGCTGAGTGCAGAGCCCAATACTGGGCTCAATCCCAGGACCCTGAGATCATACCCTGAGCCAAAAATCAAGAGTTGGACACTTAACCAACTGAGCCACTCAGTTGCTAACATGAATAAAACTGCCAGGATTGGGTTCCCTGGAAGACAAATTCTGAATTGAAGATTTATCTGCATCAAAGTTTCAACAAGTGCTGTTGGGATCAATACTTGTAGGGTGGGGGAGTGGTTATGGAGTCAGAATTGGGTAGAAGGAGACTACAAGACAGCTGAAGTTGAGAAAGCCCTCCAGTGTTGATGTCTATATTAGTTATCTATTGCTGCAGAACAAATTACCCCAAAACTTGGTGACTTAAAATGAAAATTGTCATTTTAATATCTTTCATAGTTTTTCTGGACCCAGAATTTGGAAGCAGCATGCCTGGATGGTTCTGGATTAGGATCTTCCATAAAGTGGCCCTCACAAGGCTGCTGGAGCTGGGGTCATCTTGAGCTTTCTCCAGTCATGTGTGGTGCCCAGACAACGGAGATTCAAAAACTTGGAACAGCTGAAACTCCTTAGTCTTCTCTCTCTCTGTGTAGTTTCTCCTCTTGATGTCTCTAGCCTAGGGGCTTCAGAGTAGCTGGATTTCTTATGTGATACCTGCAGGTTCAGATCTCCCAAGGTATAGATCGTGAGTGATAGAGAGTTAGGTAGAAGACAAATCATCTTTTGTGATCTAGCCAGGAAGTCACATCATTACTGCCACTCTCTTAGTCAGGGCAGATATAAAAGTCAACTCAAGTCAAGGAGAGGGAACACAAACTCCATCTTTCAGTGGAGGAGAGTCATCATCATATTATAAGAAGAGTATGAGAGATGAGATATGTAGTGTAGATGTCTTTGGAAAATATACTCTTCGAGGCCTTGAGTCAAGTGGATGAAACTTTATTCTCTGGCTTTGACCAGCCATGGCACATATCATGAGGATCTTGGATGAACGATTCTATTTAGTTGAGATCAATTCTAGAAAAGGACTCAGATAAGTGTTCTCAGTTGCCAAAATTCACAAAGGCTGGAGGAATGAATAGTTCAAATATGAAGGGAAGGATCTAAGTGGCATACAATAGCAATGTTTCTAGAACCTGCATTCTCGTATAAATCCTTTTGTGGACATGTATTTCCATTTATTGTGCATATTTATCTAGAAGTAGAATTTCTGTGTCATAGGTAGGTATATCTTTAGTTTTCTTTCCAATTGAATTGCCTTGGCATTTGTTTGTTTGTTTTTTTGTTTGTTTTTTTAAAGCTTTTACTTATTTATTTGTTTAACAGAGGAGGAGAGAGATAGGAGAGAGCACAAGCAGGGAGAGCAGCAGGCGGAGGGAGAGGGAGAAGCAGTTACCCCACTGAGCAGGGAGCCCAATACAGGGCTTGGTCCTAGGACCCTTGGGATTATGACCTGAGCTGAAAGCAGATGCTTAATGACTGGACCACCCAAGCGCCCCTGCTTTGGAGTTTTTTAAAAAATCAAATGACTAGATATGTTGTATCTACAGTTAAGCCTTGAACCACTTGAGGGTGGGAGGTGCCAGCCCATTGCACCGCTTAGCACATGCTCTCTCCCTCAAAAAAAGAAAAAATTTATAAAAGAGAAAAGTTTAAAAAAAGTATGTGTATAACTTTTGACTCCCCCCAAACTTAACGACTAACAGCCTACTGCAGGCCAGAACACTTACTAATAACAAATGTAAAGGTTAACAGATATTTTATGTGGTATATGTATTACATACTGTATTCTTACCATAAAGTAAGCTAGACAAAAAAAAAAAAATGTTGAGAAAATCATTAGGAAAAGATCAGTTTGTTCTCTATAGTTAAGTCTGTTTCTGGTTTGGCTCTCTTTTTTCCACCTTTCTTTTTTTTTTTAAGAAACAAAAAGTCCCAGTGTGCCTAACTTAAAATAACTTGGTCATGAGATCCTTATAATCCTGTTCCAGGCAGGCTTCCTGAATCTGTTGACACCTAACTTCCTTAGAGTCGTTGCTCCAGATCTGCTCCCTGTTTAAGTGGCCTTCCTTGCCTTCTACCCTCAGTCACTTCCCATCTCCCTTGAAGTATCTTTTTAAAACACATACCTTATTATGTTACTACCTTGTTTTAATCTCTCTCTAGACTCTTACAGGACTAAATCTCCTTAGCTTAGTCTATAAACCCACTCACAATCAGTTTGTGTCCTGCTGCTCCACGTAGAACCAGTGTTCCTGATTTGTTAAACTTTGCCATGTTCCTTGGACATATCATAACTTTATGTATTTTTGTGGTTTTGCACTTTGTATCCTGCCTATTTGGGGCTATCCCTTTTAATCTGGCTTTTCTAGATTTAGTCTTCAAATCTGATTCAGATACCACCTCTTCTAGAAAGACTTCCCTGGGTAAATTACCTCTGTCCTCAACATTTCTCTTCTGTGTTCTTATAGCATTTACAAATCTGCATGCTGACTTAGTTGGCCAGTCTATCTATTCATCCATCCATCCATCCACCCATCCATCCATCCATCTATCTCATCTGCATAATCGGTTTTCCCCAGTAGATCCTAATCTCCTTGATCAAAGTATTGTGTCTTTCAAATATAGTTTTTTGGTCTCCATAACTTCTCGTAAGCATTATATATCCTATGTAGATTCTCAATGTATATTTTTGTTGATGATAATCTTACAAAAAGTATTTCTCCAGTGGTACTCGAAGTAATTGTTTTCCATATAGAAATTAAGGACCACAGACCCAGAAGAGAAACTAATTAGCCAGTACTATTAGTACTAATAGTACTAAGTACTATTCTATTTTTGTTGCTTTTTAGAACTATCAACCTCCTCACCCAGTATCCCTATGGAGTTCTGCAAGAATGGTGGAACCTGGGAAAATGGCAGGTGCATTTGTCCAGACTTCTGGAAAGGATGGAGATGTACAATTGGTAAGTTATTTGAGATGGTACTAGGTACTAGGTACTGGTACTATGAGGTTTAGGTGACTTGCATTAATAAGGACAGCAGGAAAGCTTCTTGAAGTTTCTGTTAATGATTTAGTAACAATGGGCTTAACGATGGTGGCTTTAAGATGTGATTGTTAGTTTAATAGTAAAAGTGTAGTGTTCTTTTTGGGCTACTTACTTATATGTTCAATACCCCTAGTATATTTCCCAGCTATCAAGTTTCTCTGTAAACTGAAAGATGTTTTTCCTTCTGGTTCTAGTGTCTACTTCAGGGAAATGGGTGGTATGGTTCCCTCCACTTTTTTCAGTTGGTGATACATTATATTACCCCATTTCAAATATCACAATTCTATCATATTTCACTTTTCTGAAATCAAGGTACATCTTCCCATCCAAGTATACATTTAGATGAAGTCTTTGTTTTTTCATCCTTTTCCTGGATGAGATGTTATTAAATTAGTGGTTTGACTTCAGACTGTCCTCTCTCAGAATCAATGTTCAAAGCCATTTCTTTTTTTATTTCTTATTTATTTATTTACCATTTCTTTTTTTAATTGAAGTAGAGTTGACACACAATGTTCCATTAGTTTCAGGTGTACAACATAGTCATTCAACAACTTCTCACTACAAGTGTAGATACCATCTGTCATCATACAACACTGTTACAGTACCACTGACTCCATTCTGTGTGCTGTACCTTTCATTCCCATGACATATTCATTCCATAAGTGGAAGTGTGTATCTCCCATTCCCCTTCACTCATTTCACCAATTCCCCCCACCCTCTTCCCTCTGGCAACCACCTATCTGTTCTCTGCATTTATGAAAATGTTTCTGTTTTTTGTTTATTCATTTATTTTGTTTTTTAGATTCTACATATAAGTGAAATAATATGGTATTTTCTTTTTCGGTCTGACTTATTTCATTTAGCATAATACCCTCTAAGTCTATCCATGTTGTTGGAAGTTGCCAGGTCTTATTTTTTTTAATGGCTGGGTAATAATCATATATGTATACACACACAGATTTTATATATATATATATATATATATATATATATATATATATTTAATGGACACTTAGGTTGTTTTCATGTCTTGGATATTGTAAATAATGTTTCAAAGCTGCCTCTTCATATGCAATCTGCAGTATACTTCCCAATACTCTGTACACTTTATGCTGGATGCTTAGGATCCAGAGCCTTAGAAATGCCCTCCTAGAATTTCCTATACTTCTACAAGCGAGTATATCTCAAATGCTCCATGACTTTGGTCTTTTGCTTTGACCCACCTCCTCATGATGCCTTTTGGTACTATGGGCTCTTTACCTTTAGTTGTCAAGATTTCAACTAATCTGATTTCACTATCCTTTCTGATGTGTTAGTGATCACATCCCACCTCTACTAGGTTATATATACTAGAACCCGTTATCTAACACACTAGTTTTTCTAATGGTATCAACTCAACCAGATAAAAAAGTATAAAGTCTCAGGTGAGTCAGTGAGTCCTAAAGTCTTCTATTAGCCTTCAAATTATACCGAATAGGTTTTGAACTTTGATTTTTATCTAGTTTGAAATTTTAAAAAGAAAAGTATAATTTATGATGAAAAATTTATTTTCTTTTCATGATAGCTAATTTCTGTGAAAACAGTACCTATGGGATTTTTACTTTTGATAGAATTCCAGCAGGAAAATATGGACCTTCCCAACAAAGATGTGATAAGGACACTTTAAACGGTATGTGTTTTTCCAAACATCTCCTATTTAAGCATATGAATCACTATGCGGGGTCATACCTATCATCCCTCCAACTAGTATTAAGTCCCTGGAAGAGGCATCAAAGAAGGTTTTGTGGAAGGGTTTGGCTCCCTTTCATTATGCCCATGTTCAAAGTTTAGGATGCAACCTCATATAATTCTAATTCCCCTAAAAACTGTAATATGGATCAGTTACAAATTCCTTTTAATTCTTCTTCCACTGGTTTATTTTCCCAGTTTCATTTATGTCCTAGAATTTGAGCATATTAATATCTGATCATTGAGTCATATAGTTTGTCTGAATTTTAAACATTAACTATACATTAGTACCATATCTACTTTCAGACTTCAACTTTCTAGGTAGAGATTTTCAGTTAAGTCTGTCCACACTTGGTCATTCTTCATCTCCTTTGTCATTTTAGTTATCCATCTTGAAACATTCTCCAGGTTCATCATACCTTCCTTGAGGCATGACAACCTTGCTTGCATAGAGACATTCTAAGAATAAAGGAGCAAATAACATTTTTAAATTTCTAATATGCTCCCTGATGATATACAGGATTTTGGTGACTTATTTCAATGCTGTACTGGGTTATACTTTCTGAGAGTAGTCCTGAAAAATGCACAGATTCCTTTCCTGACAGCTTAGAGCCCGTTATGCTGTATGATTTTTCCCTTAATGTATTATCTGAACTTTGTTTGCATTGACCTTCATTTTACCAGTCCTCATATTTCTCACATCTCCCTGCAGGATACCATGATTTCCTGCAGAACAGGATATCGCAATAATACTGCTAATTCTAGATCATTTGTGAAAACTTTTGATAGATCTTCTGTCAGTAATAACCCCAGGCAAGACTTTCACTTTTTATTTAGAGATTTATTTTTGTGTATGTCAAATGCTCTTTGAAATATTTACTTACAGGTATTGGTCTTTCCAATTGTGTTTCTTTATCTTATTTATTCTAAGAGATTATGTAGACTAGTATTTCATTTGCAGAATTCAAATTTCCTTGGCCCATATATAATAACAGGCCTACTCTAATATTTATGATCCTGTTCTTTACATAGGTTCTTCTAGCCTCTTGATTAAAAGCTCAGATGGTAAAAGGCAGCAGGGATTCATATTATTGGTACTTACTTCTTATACTGTATGGTATGTCTATGGATACCTGTTGTCTTAATTTTTCATGTTTCTATATCTTATTTCATTATAATTTATAAGAGATATAGCTACAAAAAAATAACTGTGTGCTACCAAATCAGGAACAGTTAAAAAATATCAGTAATATATTCATTAAGGGGCATCACACTTGTTTGATACAGATTATGTTTTTGGCTCTTAAGCATTAGTCACAGGAAGATACTGAGGTAGGTTGGCTCAGTGATAATTACAGGATATAAACTCAATGATTCAAAAAGTTTTTATTGAGAGTCAACCAGATTATCAGGTAAGTGCTACAGTAAAATAGAACTCTTTGCCTTTCAGGTGTTATTCAGATTTGGATAAAGAAGGATCAATATATAATTTAATATCTAGTAGCAATTTTTCATATTATTTCTGATCTTTCAGCCCTCGTCACATCTTATTCAAAGTCTTATGCCCCTAGTTGTTGGAAGGCACACCTTCCTTGCAGACTTCAAAGGTCGGAAATAGTTGAATGGTCTTTTGAATTTCAGATTAAAAATCAAGACAAAGGACATCTGCCTAAACCTTTCCTGTAATGACTGCTTGATTCACTTCCCATTGCTATATATTAAACCATCCCAAATTTTGTGGCTTCAATGAATAATTATTTAGATTTTTCATCGTTCTGTGGGTTGATGGACTGCCGGAATGTCCAAGACATCCTCACTCACTTGGCACTTTGGTGCTGGCTGGACTGACTCTGATTTCTTCCGCATAGCCTCTCATCCTCCCATAGATCAGAGCTGCCTCCTCCTACAATAGTCTTGAGACAGTGTTCCAAGAGGGCAAAGGCTGAAACTTCAAGTCTTCTTGAGACCCAAGTTCTGGAACTCTCACAGAACATTCTGTTGGTCAGGGCAAGTTTATGTCCAGCCCAGATCCAGAAAATGGAGGAACAGACTCCACTCCTTGGTGGGAGGAGCAGCACAATCCCACTGAGAAGGGGATGTGTACAGGAGCTAGTAGCCATCTTTGCAAATGCTGTCTTTTTTCTTTTCTTCTTTTTACCAAAGAGGGCAATCCGAGAGCAACCCGGCTGTGCAATATTACTATGTATGGAGAGATAAAATTAGAAAATGTGACAATAGGAAATTGCAATCAAACTCTGGAAGCCCTGGAAGATCAGGTATGCCATATGGCCCATGTGCTTGGCAGTTGGAAAAGTTCCGATTCTGTGTGAAGTCTCTGTTCTTTGGATACCTAATGGTCAAATCAATGCTTTTAAAACTCTCAAATTAGAAATAACAAAAGTTTTTTTTTTTTGAAGTTGACATCTGTTTGTGAAAAAGGACCTTTGGACCTGTTGGTTCAGCACATTTTAGCAAATGATAATCTATAACACATTTTAAATGGCCTCATCTTTTTAGAGCAGTGAAGTCCTGACTGAAAATAGATCACTGACATTTGAGACCCTAAGGAAGGTATTTGGTTGGTTATCTGAATCACAATAAAGAGAAAAAAACAACCACTGTCAAAGACCTTTTGAGACAGGGAAACCTAAAACCTAATACTGGTCTCAGGGATGTATCCATGAGCCGGTGAAGTGGGAAATATATATGACTAGATATTTTTTCATGCAGATAAAATTATTTTGACCCAGTGTATAGCTAATTGCAAATGCATGGAATTACTAATATCTGAGGCCAAGAAGGGGGAGAAAAGGAAACTTAAAGTAGTCCTTTTAAGTGCAGGGCATGTTAAATATATTTCCTCATTTAGTCCTTATAGAACCTCAGTTATTCTCATAGATAATTAGAGTGATGATACTAATTACTGAGCCACATACTGTGTACCAAATACTGTGCTAACATTTTACCTATGTTATATTTAATTCTTATAACTATATAGATAGATATTAACGTACCTATTTTATAGATGAGGAAACTATCTCTGAGACATGCAGTGAACCACAGCCAAAGAGTGATGGAGTCACTTTTTATTTTAAAGCCCACATTGTATCACTCCGGCTCCCCAGTTGTAGTTGGGCAGGGTTAGCCGTAGAGCGGGGGTTAGGAGTGGAGTGTGGAGATGGCTGCCAACTGCCTAGTTTGTGCCAACTACACAGACGGGGGAAAGACGTCATGTTCTGGAGTCTGACTAACCAGTTTTTTGCTGTCAGCTCTGACACTTCTAAGCTGTGTGAAGTCCTTTACTTCTTCACACCTTTAAAGAAGGATGAGGATGCCCCGCTCACAGTATTGTTCTGTATTAAATGGGAGAGCTCTTATAAAACATCCAGCAAAGTGCCTAGCACAGAGCAGGGACCTAGCTATTGAATGAGAGCTTTTGTTGTTTTTGTCTGTTGTTTGGACATTGTTTTCAACCCTCCCCAAAGTGTGAATGGCCTGTGACCTTGGTTTGATTTTTGAAATAATTTTTGAAATAATGCTGCCATCTAGTGAAAAACTAAGCCACATGCACACACGTTAACCCCTGGCTCTCCTAAAGATGTTCTAGCCTCACAACACCAGAGCTGGGGGGCCAGTTGGTATCCGGAGATAAGGTCAAGGTCAGTGTTTCCCAATCTGTGCTGAAAAGCTAGTTTTAAAAATTTCCAACCCCTTGCAGACTGATAATTTAAAAAAAATGTAATAATAATGAACTCCTAGGAAAATAGGATGAGAAAAAGATATATAAAATACAAATCATTTTTTTCCCTCTTTATAAAAAAGTTTTGAATTATTTATTATTGACGTGTAGTTGACCCACAGTGTTACATTAGTTTCAGGTGTACAACATAGTGATTAGAACAAGTCTATGTGTTATTCTATGCTCATGCAATTGTAGCTACCATCCAAATATAAGTCCCTGAAAAAAATCATTAGATTCAACAACATACAATTGTGTAAGTTTCTGACCAGTTACAGTCAGTTTCTGAGCTTATCTCCCTGTGAAACTTGTAACAAACAAACAAACAAATCAACCCTGTTTTGAAACCTGTAATAAATAGTTACTGTTTTGAAACCTGTAATAAACAGTTACTGTTTTGAAACCTATAACAAACAGTTCTGTTTGTCACAGGGTTCTTGGATCCCACCTTGAGTGGCATTGATCTACCCAAGACAGTCTTAGTTAATGAATCTTGGCAGATAGTAAAGGCTGGAAAAGCCACTAGCCTGCATGAACTTTGTCTTTTGCCCAAGGAGAGAAGCAAACATGAAAAACTGAGTAGATGCAGGAGACTGAGGGTCAGCTAAATTCCAGTTTATTCACCTGCAATTGCTTGCAAAGTGCTTAGACATAGTCCTATAAACATAGGTTTTTTTTTTTTTTTTTTTTTTTTAACAGATAGGCAATATCTCAACACAATCTCTGAATATTTCTAATGAAGCGCGGATCTTAACATCTGATGTCAATCGAATAACTCCTGAGGGCGTCATTTCTGCCACTAAAGTGGTCGGGGAGATCTTCAACCCAGAGAGAAACGCTACACTTGAGGTAAAACTCACAAGGTGTTTAAGAGGGAGGGGAAGGGAAAAAACAACAACAACAAAAAAAAAAACAGACACAGAAAGAAAGACAAAACGAGAAATCGCTTTACTTAGTTCAATAGTAAGTATAATAGTTATACTAAGTGTTATGGGCTGTAATGTTTCTGCAGTCAGAGCCCTGCAGGCTTATTTTGTTTCTGCTTCTCTGTATCTAAGCATCTGTTTTTGTGCTCTTGGGGGTGGGGTCGAGGTTCTGTGAAAGACCTTGCGGGGAGGCCAAATTCAGAAACATAAGCTTCCTGATGGACTGAATTTAAAATTTCCCCATGCCTTATCTTTATTCTCTCTGTCTTCTGAAACTAAATCTTTAAGTTTGAAAAATACTTGCCTCTCGATGACCATACTAATGGTGCCTCTTGATACCGTAGTAGTGCATGATAATAATGGTGAGGAGGATATATGATCTATGTCTTCTATGATGATCGTTTGCTGCCTTCTTCCTGGCAGGCAAAAGAAATTGCGGTAACCACAGTGAGTCAACTTCTAGATGCCGGGGAAGGTGTTTTTCAGGAAGCTGCTGCAGCTGGTACTGATGATGTCAACACCTTTGCAATGTAAGCGCAATTCCTGTTGGGAAAGAAAACCTTTCAAAATGCTATCTTGTTTCCTAGGTTAAAACATGAGGAATGGTGTCTTTAGTTCTCTCCTGGCTGTGCTAACTGGCTGAGTCCTCTGGAAGGCAGACTGAAGCCTTGACTTTCCACCTGATTTTCATTTACTAGACAGTGTTACATGTTAACTCCTGGCTCCTGGGGTGACCATGGTTTGGGAGATAGAGACCAGCTGGGATGATTTAGATGAGAACTTACTTTCCTAGCGTTCATTTGGCATGGCCAAGGGTCAGCCTACATGCACAAAAGGAGCTCAATGTACAGAGCTAAAAATAATAGAATAACTTTGCAGGACATGTTGCCTGCTCCCTACACACAACTCAGCTAACCCCAAGATCCTGGTGTATCTGGGTAAAAGCTTTCTTTAGCTTTCCCAAGGCTACACTAAAGAAAAAAAAAATCCAACTCTACCTGCTTTCTCTCTTTTTGATTCCTATGTTTCCGCATACTTTTGGTTTATATTTATAATAAAACGTACGTACCTTATTATAGAGGTCCCTTACTAGGATTCATTGTGTTTTATTTTATATATAGTTTTCTTGATTTAAAAAAAAATAAGTAAATATGTATGCTCATTATAGAAAAATTAGAAAATATATAGATGAGCAAAATTTTAAAAAATTGTCCCACCTTTTTAAAAAATTTTTATTTATTTTTTAAATTTCTTTTCAGTGTTCCAGAATTCATTGTTTATGCACCACACCCAGTGCTCCATGCAATATGTGCCCTCCTTAATACCCACCACCATGCTCACCCAACCTCCCACCCCCCTGCCCTCTAAAACCCTCAGTTTGTTTCTCAGAGTCCACAGTCTCTCATGGTTCATCTCCCCCTCCAATTTCCCCCAACTCACTTCTCTCCTTCTCCCCATGTCCTCCGTGTTATTCCTTGTGCTTCACAAGTAAGTGAAACCATATGATAATTGACTCTCTCTGCTTGACTTATTTCACTCAGCATATCTCTTCCAGTCCCATTCATCTGGATACAAAAGTTGGGTATTCATCCTTTCTGATGGAGGCATAATATTCCATTGTATGTATGGACCATATCTTTATCCATTCATCTGCTGAAGGGCATCTTGGTTCTTTCCACAGTTTGGCGACTGTGGCCATTGCTGCTATGAACATTGGGGTACAGATGGCCCTTCTGTTCACTGTATCTGTATCTTTGGGGTAAATACCCAGTAGTGCAATTGCAGGATCACAGGGAAGCGCTTTTTTAAATTTCTAGTTGGTGCAGCCACTTTAGAAAACAGTGTAGAGATTCCTTAAGAAATTAAAAATAGAGCTTCTCTATGTCCCACCTTTATTAACCTATTGATATATATTCTTCCAGATTTTTTTCTCTCTGTGTGTGTTTGTGTCACATTACATACTCTACTGATTTATAGCTAGTTTTTGTCACTTAGTAATAACTTATGAACATCTTTTCAATATAAATATCTATAGATATACATCATAAATTTTAGATACTGAGTGAACTTCTATCTAAGCAATTGCTGTTGAAGGACATTTAGATTGCTTCAAGACTTTTCATATTTTGAACAATAGACATTCTTATACATAATCTCTGTTTGCCTGGCCCATTATTTTTTTTTTAGGAGAAATTCCTAGAAGTAGTTCTCAGTTTTCTAACTTTTACAGTGTTGAGCCCTCAAAGCTTTTGAAAAAGTACAAAAGCATGAAATGGATAAGGACATTCAAAAAATTATAATTCTGAGAGATGGTGGTAGAGGTTGTTGTTTCAACAGTTGAACTGGTATTTTATGGCTTCAAATTTCAATAGGAGTCTGGGCCCTTCTCACTGGGAGTTTGGAGACTCCCAATTTTCTCGTAGTTGGAGAGGGAGGTGGCCGTGGGATTCAGAGTCTCTGTTCAGTGAACATGGAGCTTGAGAGTGGGAGTGGGCTCCCTTCAACCTGGAGGCTCTGTGTTTGTAGTTTTGCAACTAGGAGATTTGACTGAGAAAATCGCACATCATGATACAGAGGAAAATACTGTCCTGATAATAAGCAATTAGAAATTTTACTGGCTTAAGGGACATGGAGAAAAACTTGATTCTGTGTGATTGATCCAAATGGCTTCAAAGGAGATGATTAGAGAGTGAATAAAAATCATATTATATTTTATCTTATTTAATAAAAATTTTCAATTTGGGACACACTGAAATATGAAATGCTACAACTGCACTCATAGTAATTCCTCCCACTCTGGATTTCTAGTCTGCTTACTTCTCCAATCCTGGCCTGTCAGTTGACTCTCCCAGGTGATCTTAAGCAGAGCCCTCCTGGACCTGGAGCCTCATTCACTTAGATAAGGCCGTCCCCTCAGACTCGAGCCCTCAGATCAGGTCACCAAGCCCTTAGTACACCTCTGGAACTGCCCTCAGAGGTCATGCTATCACTCTTGTCTCCCTGGAGAAGAAAATTAATTGCTGCCCTGGGGAAATCTTCCTTCCCCAACTCTTGTCTCCTGAACCTGGGCCTACCTGCAGGGAGTCTCCTGACAGACCCTGGGCCTTTGTTGTCTGTCTCACTTTGGCTTCTCCCTTCTTTCCTTCACAATTTCCTCTTTGCATCCTTAAACTACTGGACTCCCCTTCTCCACTCATGGGGAGAAGTGGACAGTGTGAGAGTAAAGCAGGATGGTGATAGGGAGGAAAAGACCTGCCCAGCTCCAGCTGGCTCAAGTCATAGTGAAATTCTCTAGCATCCATTCATCCATTCTCTCGGTCTGAGCCGGGAGGAGCCCTGGGCAAGGTGTCTGCTGTTAAGGGCATCCTACTGCAGTCAGTGAATCTAAGACTTCCTTTCACCATTTTGACTCCTTGTTGTGAAGACTGAGCTATCACCCTGTAACTTTGCTGTCAAATTCAGGGCTCGTAATTGTCCGTCTTTACCTACCCTTGGGAATGCAAAACTGCTTCCCCTAATACTGACCATCTTGTATATTTATGTTTCATATTTCTATTTGTATTCTTGTTCCAGCCAGCCTTCTTTGGTTAAAAGATGCCTGGTTAAATTATCTTGACAAGAGATCGATTGCAAAGAGCCTTATGGAATCTCATGGGAACCTAAAAACAGTATCATAACATGGCAGGTTTTTATGGATTCTGGAGTAGGGAGATGGCAGGACATCCAAGGCAGCTTTGAAGGTCCCTAGAGAGGAGTTTGTAGGCCTTCCATCCAGGATAATATAGTGGTTGTGGCCACAGCCTTTGGAGTCAGACAATCTTGGGTTCAGATCTTAGCATTGCTATTTAGTAGGTACATGATTTTGGCTAAATTCATTTCTCTTGGAAGAGTCTCAGATTCTTCGGTATAATATAGGAGTAACTTTGAGACTCACTTCAGTAGGATTCTTGTGAGGCTCAACTGAGTTAATATATGCAAATCACTAGCAGGATACCTGACTTTCATATAGTTAGTCTTGAAAAGAAATGTTAGCAGTTGGTCTTTATAATTAATATGACTCAATAAACATGTATGTTTCATCTTTACTTCTATTTTGTTCTCTCATAAATTAACGCTGTTTATGACATTGGGGAGATATAATTAAAAACAAAATCTTTTCTTAGCCCAGAAATGCTCTCCACAAAGATAGTGGAGAAAGAAAACACTTTTTATTGCATAAGCACTAAACCAGAATGTGATGTGTATCACAGGCAAACACTAAGAGATTGCAGAGAGAAATCTCATCTCTTTATATAGCCAAGCAGATATAATCTATTACATATGTGTTTTCAGGTAATCAATAACTAGTCCTCAGTTCAGAGAACTTGACAACACTGTTACACATAGTTCATCTTAAATTAACCCAGTACTTTAGGTGGCCATCTGTGTTAGCTAACTGACTTTATCCAGAGGAAGAACAAACTTCTCATATCTTTATGACAAGAGGTAGCCTTGCAACTTGGAGCAGGGTACCCACCCAGTAAAATCAGGCTCCTAGCCCCACAGGAACTGGGAAATAGAGAAACTAACTCCCTTGATGTTCACATTTTAAAGGGATGGCTTCCATGTCCTTGAGAGAGACATTCCTAGATCATAAAGCGGACAATTTTTTTTAAGGTAGGAAAGCAAGTTTATTCAATGAAGTATTTACTGAGCCCTTAATGTACCAGGCACTATTTTATGTGCTGGGAATACATTCTGTTGATTAAAGACATACGAAAATCCTTGTCTTCAATTGTACTTACACTCCAGAGAAAGGACAAGAGACAATAAACATAAGAAGTAAATTACGTAGGAAGTTAGAAGGTGATAAGCACCATGAAAAAATTCAAAAGAATTTACTTACATATTTTTTTCTTTTTAAAAAACTTATTTATTTGACAGAGAGAGAGAGAGAGAGAGAAAGAGAGAGATCATACAAGCAAGGGGAGCGGCAGGCAGAGGGAGAGGGAGAAGCAGACTCCCCACTGAGCAGAGAGCCCAATGAGGGACCCAAACCCAGAACCCTGGGATCATGACCTGGGCAGAAGGCAGACACTTAACCTACTGAGCCACCCAGGCATCCCATCTTTTATTCTCAACAGGAAAAATTAAGCATCTTATTTTAAACTTGTATTTGTTCTTAAAATGACAGAATGACCTCTCTGGTCCCCTCTATACCATGACTTTCCTGATATGACTTTGGCACTAACTTGAAAATTCCTGAATGAAAAGAATCTGATTGCTTCTTCCAAGAATTTATGCTGGTCAATGGCCAACCTTTGCGCTGGGTACTCTGAAGCAGGCACTCATCTCTAATTGAATCAGTTATGGCAAGGGTAGGGAAGAATCATATGGAAGGAAAAAATGGCCTTGAAAGTGGCTGTGGCTAGAGCAGCCCTATAAAAGTGGTTGTGAACCGTGCAGTCACTCCCAAATATCTAGTATGTCCTTCCCTTTAGCCTTCCAATGCCTGAAGGAGTGCCTCTTGGTATCTCCAGTATTTCATAGAGTATGACCTCTTAGTTGGTGCTCAGCAGATATTGTTTTGTTGACAAACATATGAAATATGTTCTTAGAAGATTAGAATTCTGTTAGGTATTCTTTCTGTCGAAAGCAGCTCTGGAATATGATTGTTATTTATTAAGTGGGAAATATATAGTGTGAATTGCTAATTCAGAAAATGGTGTTATGAAAGGAAAACATTCAAAACAGACAAGCCAACTCAAATGGTTTCCATATAATTGATTATCATATTCTCTTTATAAAAGCAATCTTCAATTATTTTAAAATTTGTCTCTTCATTATGTCAGTTGGGAAAAGTGAAAAATACTTTAGTGGCCAAAATAAAGACTTAGAATATGGAACAACTACATTTTAATGAAATCTCCTCACTTCTGGGAAAACTTGATTGAATCAGTTATCTTAGCTATAGAGATTTTGTTTGATCAGGTACAGAAATAATGCAAATACTTCTTGTAGGAAACAAGGAAAAGAAAAGGTCTTATGACTTTTCTTTGTAGAACACCAAACTGACAGGCTCTCCCACTCCATCCCACTTTCCAACTAATCTGCCTTCAAAGTTATTCAAAGTAGAAAAGAACATTGTGGAAACTTGCAATGTAGAGATAATAACCGAGGCAGTGAGCTCAGAGCTCTATTCTTGCATGGTTCCAAATGAATTGTTGCCTCTTGAACCAACAACTGACAGGAAATGGTTTAGATCCCAAGGGGTTTGGGTGAGAGGAGAGAGTTGAATAAGGGGAAATTGGTTCTCATCCTTGGAGAAACAAGAAGCACATATCTGGCCAATGACGGATAGCAACATCATCCTTTGTGTGAAAGAAAAGCACAATAGAGACTATTTCTGTGGGGAAACTTGTCATTCTTGAGTTCCAGCTTTCTGGCATCTATATATACAGTATCCTTCAGTCCATCAGAACTTTAGAAAAAAAGTATATACAACAAAGGAAGACTCTGGTGAAGAACATAAATTATTTTAAGTGGATCGTATCAATGTTGTGATCATGTGAGTTCTGTGGTTATGCCTTTCTACTGGAATGAGGGAGAGAACACAAACCTTTTTATGACAAATCTCTAGAATGTTATGTTGTTATATTTTATCCTATACAGGCTTGTTAAGCAAATGGAAATTTATTCCACGTCTTTGGGTAACAAGGCAGTGGTGGAGCCCAATGTGGCAGTACAGTCTGTAGATTTGTCTTCAGAAAGCACTGGGCATTCCACAAGTGTTCGTTTCTCTGTGAAGAAAGGTGAGTTGTTTGTCTCATGTACTTATCGTAGCAGACAGCATTCTGCTATCAACCATGAATAATGCTCTAAGAAAATGTAGACTTTTAAAACTCTACTTTTTTCCTCTGACAGGATCTAGTGATTCTCTCATTCCTGGTTCCACAGTTGTGGAGAGAGATGTGGAAGCCCTTAATCCAAATGGGCAGACTGAACTTCAAATCCTGCTCAATACCTCAACAAGTAGGTCTCAGACTTTGTTACATTAAAAAGTACACTCAAATTGGGGGCACCTGGGTGGCTGAGTCAGTAAGCATCTAACTTCCGGCTCATGTCATGACCTCAGCTGGGACTGAGCTCCCCATGTGCATCTCCCCACTCAGCAGGGAGCCTGCTTCTTCCTCTGCCCCTCCCCCCACTCATGCCCACTGCATGCTCTCTCTCTGAAATAAATAAAATCTTAAAATTATGGTAATCTCAACTCTATTATTCTAGATGATAGAGATGAATTTCTTCTTCTTCCCCCCTCCCCTTTCAAAAACCTTTGGGGCAGAATTGAAATGCTCTGGTCATGGACACAAGTCTGTTTTCTAAGAAAAATCTAGTAAATACAAGCCAGTTTTACACTTAAAAATACATTTAAAAATTTCAGTCCTAAACTTTGCTCATATTTACTCTTGGCATGGCACTTGCAGGCTCAGATTCATCCTGTGGACCTGCCTTGGGATATTTTATGTGATTGGCACAGTCATCATCTTATAGCAACAGATATTAGTTATCTCCACTAATATGGTGCTCACCGTGGGCTCCCTGTATCTTGCATATAGCCCTTCAGAAAATGTTGTGTCTAACTTGAAATGTTTGTAATTTTTGAAGTCTAAAATAATGATTATTTTGACAATAATAATAAAGAAAGCAAGTGCACACATTTACTTTTATTCTCTCCCAAATACAAAAAAAATCCAAGTATGGCGCTGGGTGGCCAGTTGGTTAAGCATCTGACTCTTGATTTCAGCTCAGGTCATGATCTCAGTGTCGTGAAATCAAGCCCTGCGTCTGGCTCTGTGCTCAGTAAGGAGTCTGCTTGAGATTCTCTCTCTCCCTCTCCCTTTATCCCTCCTCCTCTAAAAAGAATAAAACTTAAAAAGCACTCCAATTAGAAAGTGCATATTTTAGAATTCATAATAGCTCCGATAAAGAAGAAGGGGTATTATTCATGGATCTGGCATGCTGTGAAATTTTGCTCCCATTTGCTTTGGCTACATGCTTTGTGAAGGTAGAGACCAAATCTAAGTTTTTTTTTTTTTTAATATTTCATGCATATAGAAAAGTATAGATGTATGTAGCACCTGTGTACCCACAGGTAGAGCAAGGTAAACAGAAGTCAAATTTTGCTGTTTGCTTCAGACCTCTTAAAAAAAAAAGAGGATATTAGAGGTCCATGTACTAAATTTTTCCCATCCCTCCCTCTCAGAATTTATATCTTTCTTAAGTTGGTATGTTTCATTTTTATGATTGCCTTTAGACTTTTGCTACATGTTTTTATATCCATACATAAAATATTCTATTTTGTGGGTTTTATATATTTACCTAAGTGGTATCATGGTGTATGGAACTTGTTTTTTTTAAACTACACATCACTTTTGGGAGATTTATTCATACGTTATAAGCTTATTAACTTTTGTCTATCTGATAAACATGTTACAAGCATTGTTCCTTGTTTGTTACTTTGTCTATCTGATAAATATGTTACAAATATTGTTATATTCCTTTGGCAGCTTGGAAATTCAATGATACATTAGATTTTTTTCTCCCTTTATTTGTACACCTTTTCATGTATTTATTAGACATGCTGATTTTCTACTCTGCGACTTGCCTATTTGAACATTATGATCATTTCTCTATTTAATTGCTTGTCTTTCTCTTATTGGTCATTAGAAGTTCTTGTATTCTGGATACTAATTCTTTATTGGTTATAAAGTTGCAAATATCTTTCCTCCAGTCTGTAGTTTTCTTTTGCTTGACTTTTTACATCTTTTGTCACACCTAAGTTTTAATTTATAGGGTAGTCCACTGTATCAGTATTTTCCTCTATAATCGGTAATTTAAAAAAAAATTATTTATTTATTTGACAGAGAGAGAGAGAGATCACAAGTAGGCAGAGAGGCAGGCAGAGAGACAGGAGGAAGCAGGCTCCCTGCTGAGCAGAGATTCCCAATGTGGGGCTCAATCCCAGAACCCTGAGATCATGACCTGAGCGGAAGGCAGAGGCTTAACCCACTGAGCCACCCAGACACCCCTATAATTGGTACTTTATAAGAGAAATCCTTCCCTATGTTTAAGTCACAACGATAGTCTCCCATATTTTCTTCTGCATGTTTTTAGTGTTTGTGTATGCATTTAGGTCTTCAATGAACCTAGAGTTTACATGTTTAGTGAAAGATAGGGATCTAACTTCTTATTCCTTATAAGTTATCAATCTTTTCAAATGGGCTAAAACACACTGTTAAGAGATAGAGACTCAGATTAGACTAAAAGGGACTTTTAAAAAAAATTTATTTATTTGACAGAGAAAGACACAAGCAGGGCAAGTGGGCGAGGGAGAGGCAGGCTCCCCACTGAGCAGGGAGCCTGATGTAGAACTTGATCTCAGGACACTGGTATAATGACCTCAGCCAAACGTAGATGCTTAACCCAGTGAGCCACTCAGACACCTCTGAAAGGGACATATTTTATACGATTTTTAGAAACTAAAGCTCCAAATTATCTGTATTTTAATTCTTTTTTCTCCTAGAAAGACATCATTTGACATATATAAACAAAAGTTGTTGGAAATATAGGGGCACACTGACAAACCATTCTTCTAAGTAAAGATTTTAGTGCAACTATCCCAGAAATTAAAGAGCAAGGAGACAAAAAAAAAATTAATGAACTTGACCTTTATATACACTTAAGTGTGTGTCTAATTTTGTTTGTAGGCCAAAAAGAGATAATAAAAATTCTTTCACATAGCCATCAGGTCCTTCAAAAATTGACCATCTATTCATTTGCTACTGACCATGTACAAAAGCTTATGCATTTTGTAAAATAAAAGTTACGTAAGACATAGTTCCTGACCACAATGCAATAAAACTAGAAAGTATCACAAAAGAATATCCAAAGTTTTATCCCAGTTAGATATTAAGAATAAATGTTGTTAGAAAGGAAACTAAAGTGTACATTACAAAGTACTTGGAAATTAATGGCAATGAGAATACCACATATCAACACCTATGGGATGTGGACAAAGAATTCTTCAAATTCTTCCCTATGTTAAAGTCATAATGATAGTCTTATATATTTTCTTCTGCATGTTTTTAGTTTTTAAAGTAAATTATTTAAAGTAGATTATTTAAATTATTTAAAAAAATATATGTGCTTTAATAAATTTATTACAAAATAAATGAAATTGTTAAAAAATGAACTGAGCATTCAACTAAAGAATAATAAAAATAAAGTGAATGTAAAGAAGCTAAAAAGAAATAATAAGTGTGATGGAGAAACTTAATAAAAATAGAGATTAACAAATGCTAGGCTTGATCAACAAAAAACCCCCATCATTTCCATGAAAAGACTAATAAAATAGTCAAGATTCTAATAAATTTGATTACAAAAAGGGAAAGAGAGAGTGAAAGAATATAAATCAATGTCAAGAAGGTATATCTAGAAATATGAAGATTTAACAAAAATTAAAATGGTAAATAGAATTTTTTTCTGATGAATCTTTATCTCTAGATGAAAGTGATTATTTTTTAATAAATGACCAAAATATTGTAGGAATGAGGAGAGGGGTAAGAAGGTACTTTCATTTTTTAACCTCTATATTTCTACGGATTTGACTTTTATTTATTTATTTGTTTGTTTATATTTTTTTAAAGATTTATTTATTTATTTGAGAGAGAGAACACACACGTGTGCACATGCATGAGCAAGGGAGGGGCAGAGGGACAGGGAGAGAGAGACACTCAAGCAGACTCTCCGCTGAACATGGAGCCTGACATGGGGCTCTGTCTCATGACTCTGAGATCGACCTGAGCCAAAGTCAAGAGTCCGGTACTTAACCAGCTGAGCCACCCAGGACTCGACTTTTACATCAAGCATGTCCTTCTTTTATTTAAAAAACAACAGCAAAAAACAAACAAACAAACAAACAAACAAAAACTCCACCCACAATAATAATGAAAAGAAGCCTTACTGCAAATTTCAGGCTAACTTTGTCATCTAGTGTCCAGAAGGAATAATTTGGCAAGTCCAATGTGCCATGAGAATGCTCCGTAAACCAATGTCTTTATTTCCAGGCAGAGGCTAGAATGTGGCTGTCTGGGAGGATGGTCGGAACTGTCAAAGCATTGTCTGCCTATCTTGTCCCTGTTTCAGTTTTCTTGATATCACTTGTAAACGCAGAGTTTAAAAAATTAATTGAGTTCAAACCTGTAATTGTTATAGTTGCTTTTGTCTTAAATATGGCCAACAGTTGGATAAAGCGTTAGGGGCATTCCTTAGGTCTTCTGTTTGACAACCACCGTGGCTGCCTCCATGCAAAACCCTCTGCTGTGGCCGTGCTTTTCTAGGATCTCCGAGGAATAGCCGACCACTTTTTCCCAGGGTCCTGAAGAAATATGTCACAATAGTCTCCCAGCCTTGGGCAAAATCCATGATCATCATGAAGTAGCAAAGACCAGTGGTTCAGGAGATGATGGAAAGTATCTCCCTTGAAACAGTCCCTGATACGCACTATGCGAACTCCTGGCTCTGTGACTCAATAGACTGGCTTCTGCTCAGTCCCTTGTAATAGGAAACAGGTCTCATAACACTTTCCTAGGCACTGCCAACCCGATATTCACTATTTACTTTTTGCTCTTTCTTGCCTGATGTCTTATTGGTGGGCAGTTGGGTGGTGGTGGGTGGAAAACCACACGCCTTGGGCTACCTGAATGTCATAGTCACTGTTTCACCGCATAGAAAGCAAGATGTTCAAAAACAAGAAAAGAAAAGAAAAGAGAAAAGAAAGCAAGATGTTTATTTTATACATGAAATCCTTATAATACTTCCTCGATATGAATTAGGCAGACATTTTTGTAGCCATTTAGAAGGTAAGAAGTCTGAACCTCTGGAAAAAATTAATGTGAGTAGAATGGCCAGGCACAGGTTATACATATTAATTAAGTAAATATTAGGCTAGCAAACCATTTTTACTGTACTTTACTCAAACAGTAAGCAGTCACACGGTTGAATAATGACATGGGACTTTGTTTTTTGTTGCCCTAGGGTTCATTTGTTTCATTTGTTGATTTTTTGTTTGTTTGTTTGTTTTGGTTTCACAGGTAACACAACGGCATGTGGCTTTGTAGTGTATCAAAACAACAAGCTTTTCCAATCAAAAACTTTTAAAACTAAATCAGATTTTAGTCAAAAAATTATCTCAGGCAGTACTAATGAAAATAACAGTCAGGGAGCTTCCGTTGACATTGTCTTTAATCCAAAGGTGAGTTTTTCCACTAACAACAACAACAAAATAATTCAGGCCACTTTTGATTACAAAAGGGGGGTTGGTTGGGCAAAAGAAATCCACAGGAAAACTCTTTATATTTATGGAAATTTTTATTTACATTCCAGTTAGTTAACAAACAGCGTAATATTTGTTTTAGGCATATAACATATTGATTTAACAGAAAAATTATTTTAAGAATTATTTGAAGATATTCATTTAAATATCCATGTTTTTTAAAAAATTTTTTAAATTTATTTTCAGCGTAACAGTATTCATTTTTTTTTGCGCCACACCCAGTGCTGCATGCAATCCGTGCCCTCTCCAATACCCACAACCTGGTTCCCCCAACCTCCCACCCCCTGCCCCTTCAAACCCCTCAGATTGTTTTGCAGAGTCCATAGTCTCTCATGGTTCACCTCCCCTTCCAATTTCCCTTAACTCCCTTCTCCTCTCTAACTCCCCTTGTCCTCCATGCTATTTGTTATGCTCCACAAATAAGTGAAACCATTAAATATCCATGTTTTTTGGTCAGGCTAGCTAAATGCAAAATCAGCTAATTTGAATTTTACATCCTTCCCTCCCCCCAATCTCTAATGAAGATGTTGTACTTAGTACCTACCTAATTGATTTCTCATACACTTATATTATCTTAGATTAACCTATTTTTTTTTACTTGATTCAGCATTTTTAAAGAAATCAGTTGCAATTGTTTTTTCAATTTACAGTATAACCAAAAAGAATTCCAGCTCCATTCCTATGCTTGTGTCTATTGGAATCTTTCAACAAAGGATTGGGACACACGTGGGTGTTACAAAAATGGGAACACTGATGACTTCTTGTACTGTCACTGCAACCATACTACTAATTTTGCTGTGTTAATGGTAAGGATGTACACAGTAGTCTCTTTCCAGACACAAATTTCCCTTATACATAATTCTGGCATGTGCTAATTAGAGAATGATTTTGGGGCTTAGTTTGCATAGATATTCAATCTAGATTAAATGAATAAGCAGGGAATGGAGAGATAAGACTAAAAAAGGAAGTGCTGGTAACAGCAAGGAAATACAGCTTCCTGCAGTATGGTCTCAGGGTGGATGAGGTCAGTACCGTGTATTTAATAATGAGAAGGGAGCCCATGTGCAAGGAAGAGCTGATAGACTCCATTCAGAACTAACTCACATGTTGTGAAGCTTGAAGTTGTTATATCCAGAGGTAAGTCTGTATGGGTGTGTGTTGGGTACAGGTTCAGTACATACTTAACTATGGATGGGCAGTTGAAACCTGTTACCCAAAGCTTTTTCCATTGGAATAATCTATGTTGCTAAGTTTATACTAGAAGATAAAAGAGGAATAGCTCTTGAATTCATCCAATTTGTCCCATAGTTCCTTTACGTATTCCTTATATCTTAATTTTTTTTAAATTTGAGTATAGTTGACAAACAATGTTGCATTAGTTTCAGGTGTACAACATAGTGATTTCACAAGTTTCTACATTAGGCTATGCTCACCACAAGTGTAGCTACCATCTGTCACCACGCAATGCTATTACAGTATCATTGACTATATTCCTTATGGTGTGCCTTTTATTCCTGTGGCTTATTTATTCCCAGAAGCTTGTATTTCCCACTCCCCTTCACACATTCCCTCTGGCAGCCATCAGTTTGTGCTCTGTATTTTCAGATCTGATTATGCTTTTTTGTTCATTCTTTTTTTTTTTTTTTTTTTTAGCTTTCAGATACGAGTCAAATCATATGGTATTTGTCTTTCGCAGTCCAACTTATTTCCCTTCACATATAATCTTCTAGGTCCATCATGTTGTTGCAAATGGCCCAAACTCATCCTTTTGTTGGCTGCATAACATTCCATCATTTGTATCTACCACATCTTCCTTAGGCATTCATCTATCAATGTATTCCTTACATCTTTTTTTAGAGGGGGAAGGGCAAAGGGAGAGGGAGAGAGAGGGAATCTTAAGCAGGCTCCATGTTCAGCATGGATCTCATGACCCTGATATCATGACCTGAGCCAAAATCAAATAAGCCACCCACCTCCTTATACCTTTTGAGTACAAAGCTACTCTGTATAAATAACTGATAACACTTAGTTCTGGTGTGTAGCTATAAGTGCACCTCTGAAAGTTCTTGGGCTGGCTCTTTGAAGAGAAGGACCTGTTTGTTCTGTTTCCAGAAATCTATTATTCTTATAAATCCAAAAGTGTTAGTTTTTATACTTGGTGGAATGATTTTATATGCAGTAGAATGGGGAGGGATGTAGTATGTTACACTTATTAATATTGTGAATCTTCCTGAGAAAAGCAGGTGTTTTCATTCCGTAGGAGCTGTGAGGTAGCCATCTTTGGGAAGCCAATTGAGATCAGAACATACTGATACAACATATATTAACAAATTATAGAAACTTGTGGGGTGTTTTGTTTTGTTTTGTTTTGTTTTTGAGAGGGGATAGGGCAGGGCAGAGGAAGAGGGAGAGAGACAAAATCTTAAGCAGGAGCAGGCTCCATGCCCAGTGTGGAGCCCAACACAGGGCCTGAACTCACAACCCTGAGATCATGATCTGAGCCAAAATCAAATGTTGGATGCTTAACCAACTGAGCTACCAGGTGCCCCAATATAGAACCATGTTTTATAAATTTTTTTTCCCTTCCTTCCTTCCTTTTTTCCTTCCTTCCTATCATTTATTTCCTTTTCTAACTTTAATGCACTGGATTTAACTTCCAGTACAAATTTTTTGTTGTTGTTGTTTCAAGTTTTTGTTTATATTCTAGTTAGTTAACACATAGAATAATAATATTGGTTTCAGGAGTAGAATTTAATGACTCATCACTTACATATAATACCCAGTGCTCATCACAAGTGCTGTCCTTAATACCCATCAACCATCTAGCCCATCCTTCACCCCTCCATCAAGCCTCAGTTTGTTCTCTATAGTTAAGAGTCTCTTATAGTTTGCCTCCCTCTCATTTTTTTCCTTCCCCTATTTTCAACTGTTTTGTTTCTCAAATCCACATATGAGTGAAATCCTATGGTATGTCTTTCTCTGACTTATTTAGCTTAGTATAATACACTCTAGCTCTATCCACATTGTTGCATATGGCAAAATTTTATTCTTTTTGATGGCTGAGTAATATTCCATTATGTATATACACCGTTTAATTCTTTATCCATTCATCAGTGGATAAACATTTGGGCTCTTACAATAATTTGGCTATTGTTGATAATGTTGCTATAAACATCAGTGTGTGTGCCCCTTTGAATCACTATATTTGTATCCTTTGGAGTAAATACCTAGTAGTGCAATTGTTGGATGGTAGGGTAGTTGTATTTTTAACTTTTCAAGGAAATTCCATACTGTTTTCCAGAGTGTTTGCACCAGTTTGCATTCCCACCAGCACTGTAAGAGAGTTCTCCTTTCTCCACATCTTTGCCAACAACTCTTATTTCCTGTGTTGTTAATTTTAGCCATTCTGACAAGTGTGAGGTTATACTTTTCTTATTTTAATGATCAAAGCCTTTCTTAATTGATTTTGATTATTTTCTAACATATTACAGAGAGATCTACTTTTATTTTTTTTTTTAAGATTTTATTTCTTTATTTGAGAGGTAGAGAGCAAGCATGAGGAGTGGGCAGGGCAGAGGGAGAAACAGACTCCCACTGAACGCAGAGCCCAATATGGGGCTTGATCCCAGGAGCTTGGGATCATGACCTGAGCCAAAGGCAGATGCTTCACAGGCTGAACTACCCAGGTGCCTCCAGAGATCTGCTTTCTTAATAAGAAAATAATAAAGATAAAATTTTAACTTTTTTGATATCTTAAAGATCGTTAGCATCATCCACTAGCTGTGTAAAGCTTGGGTTGCTATATATATTAAATGATACAGACTACATTGTCATAGTTATTTTTCTTTCCTGAGGTCAAACTTTCAGCTGTTTCTTCTCATTAATGTCTGAGTCTGCCTCAGTGCCTACATTTGTAATTAGTTTTGGGTTGCCAAATTTTTTAAAAGGCTGATTAGGATTGTATATAAAGTAGGAGCAGATAGGCTCTAAGCAAATAGATGATTTCTAAGGTCTGATGATCTATATATATTCTATGATTTTTTGGTATTTACTCAATATAGTGTACACAGGAAGTAATGTGAAATCTTTGTTTTTAAAATGAAATTTATTTTATTTTTGTTTTCTTCCTATAAAAGCAGTACATACTTATTGCATAAGGTATGAAAGTTTATCTATTAAACAGAAATATACTAATATGGAAAAACATTTATAACATCTTGAATTAACATGGCAATTCAAATTAAAATATGTTAACAAACTGCTATATATTTGTACAAGAGACATAGGTAATATTTGTAGATATATTATAAAAAAGATCACCTCTGGAGAAGAGATAGGATTTTAAGAGATAGGGTGGTATGATATGGGGGTAAGAGAAAACTATGGGCTTTTTTTAATGCTTCTATATTACTTTCATGTTATATAAATATTACTTTCTAATTTTTTAAATTGTTAAAGACAGGCAAAAAATAATATATATCCTACTCAATGGCCACGATTATTACCTCACAAGATTTCTAAGAGTACATACTCACATGCAGTATACTTATCTATGAATATATACTTGGCATAGATACATTAGACAAAAATGAGATCTCCTTTTAAAAAAATATTACAGGATCATATAAACATCTTTCCATGTCTAAAAAATATTTCTGCAACTTTATTTTTAGTGCATTAGCTTACATATGCAGATTTCCTCTTAGATTATAATTACACGTAAAAATAATGTAAGGGATAAATGAAATAACTTCAGCCAACTTAAATCTAATCCAAACAACTTTGATTTTAGACATTGAGGAGAAGTATATATGTTTTCCCTAACTGACAAATAACTGTTCTCAACACTGCTTCATATAGACTGCTTAGAGATAAGGGGTTCATTTATTTCCTTTTAAAACTTCTCAAGTTTTATAAAAAGATGTATCTGGCAACTATCTGGTATTTTGACCAATGTAAATTTTTATGACTTTCATAGACATTTCAGGAATGGTTATTTACAAATATAAGTCTTAACTTATTTTCCAGAGTTTCAAAAAGAACTATAAATATCCTGAATCACTAAACATATTATCCAGCGTTGGATGTGCCCTGTCCATTACTGGTCTGGTTCTCACAATTATATTTCAGATTGCCACCAGGTAAGAAAGGATGCATGCTCTTCTTATGAGAGAAATTGCTATCCTGATATTATTTCCTCTGCACATATTCTCATCAGAATACAGTCTTTTGGAACTACAAGGGAAATCCGATTTAGTTCAACAAGCTCCTTTTATAGAAGAGGACACTCAGGTCCGGAGAAGCTAAGAAATACATACAAATAAATATATAATTAAAACTGTGGCAAGTGCCTTGAAGAAAAATTGCACACCATGTAATTATAAGCTTCTCATGTAAAACTAGTATGGTCCCAAAGCTCATTAATGCTATAATTCCTTTGGGTTGAACAGAACCATATGTACCAATTTGTGTTTGCCAAAGAATAAAACATTGCTAAATAGCAAGTTTTTGAAAATTCAACTAGTTTAAAATATATATTAAGTTTTCAAATGGTGAAACTTTTAAAAAGTCTTTGAATTCCATAGTTCAAAAAAATCTAATTAAAAAATTACCTATAAACACATATTTCCTTCTTCTTTGACCTCCTCACTAAAGGAGCACTTGTGTTTTTTTTTTCATTTTATATTTTTAATAATATATAAATATAAGCTTGTTATTTATTAGTTTACTTGTGTCCTATCTGTTCTCCCCCTCACCGTGAAAACTGATGAGGACAGTGACCTTTTCTGATTTTGTTATTGCTGTTGTTGTTTGTTTTGATCACTGTATCCCCAGGACTGAGTACAGTATTTGGCCCATAGTAGAGGGATATCTGTGGAGTAAGTGGGTCTATTGTGCATTCCTACCTGGTTTTCTTCTTAAACTCAAGATGTCTCAAGGTGAACTCATCTTTCCTTCAGAATTGTTTCTCCCTACCAAATTCCTTTATAAATGTTTTCTCAGGTGTGTAAATTCAGAGTTTTTTATTTTAAAGGCATTGCTGTTTAAAAATCTTTCCTGAAGTTTTATTTAAAAAATTAAGAACTGGCAGAAAAGTCGAGAGAACACTAAACAATCATATACCCTTCACCTAGATTCATTAAATTTTTAATATTTTGCTTTATCTCTCTTTCTACTCTGTCCTGAAATTTTGAAAGTAAGTTGTAGGCATCCTGACTGTCATGTCTAAATTCTTCAAGTATTTCCTAAGAACAGGGGTATTCTCCTCTATAGTATAATACCATTCCTCACTCAGGAAATTCAGCTCAAGCAATTTACCATTTTTACCACTAATTTAATATTACTGTGTTAATATATATCCTATATTAAAATTCTTCCAGTTGTCCCAATAATGTTCATTATAGCTGGGTTTTTTTCCTCCAATTCATTCAGTTTTCATGTCTCTTTAGTCTCATTTAGCCTAAAATAATTCCTCTGATTTTTGTGTATTTTGGTCTTTTAGGGCACTAAATCTTTTGAGATGCCCAGGTCAGTTATGTTGTAAAATAGAATATTCTAAGTTTAGGCTTTGTCTGAAATGTTACTCATAATTAGATACAGATTAAATATTTTTGATGAGAATACTAAATCATTAAGTCTTTTTCAGTGTGATAGAGCAAGAAGCACGTAATGTCAGTTTGTCCCATTATTGGTTCTATTATGTTTGGTCTCTTGTTTACAGTAGTGTCTACTGGATTTTTACACACTAAAGGTTCACATTTTTCCTTTTGTAAGTAATAGATAATCTGTGGGATGACCTTATGATTGTGTGACTGTCCTGTTCTTCAACTCTTACTCAATGGTTTCAGTGTCCACCAGTTGTCCTTACTGGAATATATTACTACACTGATGGCTGAAAATGATGATTTTTCTTATCTATTATTCTTTCTACATTTAGTCACTGTATTCCTTTGTAAAGAAGTGTACTCTTTACTGTAATCAGAGGGGATCTTTCTTCATGTTGTTTCGGCATGTCCCTATCAGCCTATTTATTTCAGATACAGCAAGATGACCCAAGCACATTTTTTACTTTCTCTGCCTCATACTTAGAATCAGCCCTTTGTTCAAAGAGCCAGAATTCCATTTGATTCTTCTTCTTTACCTATCATACTTAATGAGTCTCTTGTCATTCATTTTAAGTTTTTATACTGAATGCTAATTATGGACCAAGCACCATGTGCAAATCAAGCACCATGTGCAAATCAAGCACCATGATTATGAATGAGACAAGTAAGCTCCATCTCTCCTGGTATTTACATTCCTGGGGGAAGACTGATGTTATGCAAATATATACAGAATTAAGTATATAATTACAAATAGTGGTAAGTGCCTTGAAGGAAAACTCCATGCCATGTAATTACAGATCTGTCATGTAAAAGGAAATGGCTCTTATGTCTGTCCTTTCATTTGTATTTCTATTATAACCACTTTTCCAAAAAATTTTTTATTAACATATAATGTATTATTTGTTCCAGGCGCACAGGTGTGTGATTCATCAGTTTTACACAATTCACAGCTCTCACCATAGCACATATCGTCCCCAATGTCCATCTGTCGTAATCACTCTTGAACAATTATTTGATCCTATGTGAATAAGTTGCAGTACCTGCAAAGTTAGTTTCTTTGCCTAAAATTTCCCTCCTTCCAGTCATCATCAGATTTTTTTTTCATTCTCTATCAACATGTTTCTTAGCAATATTGGTGCCATAGACGTCACTGAAAACTCATCAGGAAACAAAGATAAAAATCTTAAAAATGGCATTGATTTTTAAATTGTGAATCAAATAGTTTTCTTTGTTCATAGGGTCCCATATAATTATATGAAATTTATATATAATGTGTATAAGTTATAATAAATTATATATAATTTAAATATATAAAATATGTTACATAATATATAAATTATAATATATGTTATATATAAAATAATATTAATTCTCAGAAGATAGTAATATACCAAAGAGCCAGGGTATATGAAAATAGCCTGTTCTCCCTATGGATTATAACTTATGTTTGAAATAGGAAAAAAGTTGGAAACTAACTTTGTTTTTATATAAAAGGATTCCTTTGAGTACTTTTTTCAGTTCTGGTTATTAAGTTTTCTAGAGACTGAATGAAATTTTGAATTATCCTGAAAATCTCAACTAAAGCATCTAGAGAATGAACAGAGTTCATACAATTTTTATGGATTAAATATATGCTTTCTATGCATCTTCCTAAAGACTGAGAAGGTTGATGATGGAATGTTATAAAATCATAAAGGATATGTAATTAGCAAATAGATTTATTCATCAGATTCTAGAATTAAAAATGGATACTTGAAAACATTAGGATTTTAATCACAGTAATAAACTTAGGGAAATAGTTATTTCGAGAGGACTTGTAGTCTGAAAAACCTAGAAGGGCTTAGATGGTACTGAATAGAGATTCTATAGCTTTTGTTAATATATGACTGCATAGCATAGTATACAGAGAATTGTAAAATGTCATTAGTGGGGACTTCAGGGTATATCTGCCTTTACCCACTAAGGAAAACAATACATGCACAGTAAAGAGAATATGAGACTTCACATTTGAGATCAACCTTATTTAGGGCAACCTTAAATTCTTTGCTAATCTGGAAATACACATGTAGGCCACCAGAGAACACACTTGTGAGGAGAACACAAACACACACATTCTCTCTCTCTTTCTCTCTTGCACTGCCTTCTAAAGACTACTGGCAAATAATGCCAGCTTACAGACAAAGTGAGAAAATGCTGTTCTTTTCTAGCAAAGATCTTAGCTAAAGATGAGAAGAAAAAGACCGACAAAGTTTTAAAGAGCACTTGGTTCCACACCCAGAAATTACCTCTTCAAATGAAGGAACAGTGTCCAAGCATGTTTTATATTAACTAGTTCATTCAAAACATTTTGACCATTTTACTCTCAGCAAGTTATTTCCTAAAGTATGGTCCTCAAGATACCAATCCTTGGGAGGTAGTCCATGGAAAAATGGTCATGAAATGTCTTACAGAAGACACATGTGAAATTTTGTTGAGTGTAAGCCTTTCAGAGAAATAGTAATCATCAGTCTGCTCAAAATATCTTTAGTAGCAGCAATAGACCACGACACAAATTTTAAATATTTTTACTTAATTTAAAATGTTTATGGAAGCCTTACTCTTTAAATGTAATGTAAGCTAAATGTTATACCATTTTGTTTTAAACTTATAAGGGTAGTTTAAAATTATATTTGGCTTTATTGTTTTAAAATCCATACTTGATTTTTTTATTTAAAATACTTCTTAAAATGCAAGAGACTTTCTCTACCTTTGAACATAGATTCATCTACTAATATGCAATAGTTTCCTATTTTGAAATGTAAAAAAATCCATTTAGAGCCTTTTTATATATAGCCTTTGTATATGTTTGTAAATCTAGAGGAGAACCTATTGTCTATTGTGGTAGAATAAACTGTCCTAAAGGTTAGTGGCTTAAAATATTAATTTCTTATCTCTAACGATTCTGTGGCTTCACTGGGCTCAGCTGTATGGTTCTTCTGTTGGTCTCTCATGGGTCTCCTGTGAGGCTTCAATCAAGTGGTGGGTAGAGTTGGACTCACTGGGGCTTATCTTGGATGCTGGGACATCTGGGTCTTTCTCCATCTCCACATCATCCCAGAGGATTGCTATGTGGTTTCTTTAGCAGGTTAGCTAAATGTTTTACCTGGTGGCTCAGAACTCCCAGGAGAACCAAGGGAAAGCTTATTAATACTTTCATGGGAAAAGTGACTTTATGGGATCCTTCCTCTATTAAAAGAAGATTTAAAAACTTTGAAAGTTTTAAAACTTGTGTTTTACAACTGTATATAGGTATAAAGGTGAACATATTAATATATGCTCCTATTTGTACTTTGACCTATAAAAGTTAATTCTTTCCCCTTCTTTTTTTTTTTTTCTTTTTTTAAGATTTTCTTTATTTATTTGAGAAAGAGCATGAGAGGAGAGAAGATTAGAGGGAGAAGCAGACTCCTCATGGAGCTGGGAGCCCAACACAGGAATTGATTCTGGGACTCTGTGATCATGACCTGAACAAGAGGCAGTTGCCTAAGCAACTGAGCCACCCAGGCACCCAATTCCCTTCTGGTTTTAAAAGGAGTTAAAACTTTGCTGTGGGTCATAATAGTATCACTGGCCCCAGTAGTGCTTTATCTGCTGAGTAATTTCCCCCTAGTGGCCAGGTCTTCTGGTGCATTTCATTAGTTAGATCAAGTCACAGGCTGGCCCCAGGAGGGGCTACACAGGGTATGGATACCTGAAAGTAGCATTCTGTGGGGGTCCTCTCTGAAAACTAGCTGTCATCTTTGATTACAACACAGTTTGACAGAAGGATATATCAACCTGTTTTCTCTAACTCACCTCTTTGTGGAAATGCGACAACAGCGAGCTCTTCCGGTGTACTTGGGAAGGTAGACCTACCAGCTGGACCACTGGGTTACGAGTTGGATTTCCACTGGATAATAATATTTCTGTGTTCTCTCACAGTTTCACTAGAGTTTATTTTTTGTGGCTGATTTGTTTATTTGTTTAATCATATATACTTCTTTGTTTTCAGGAACGTCAGAAAAACTTCAGTAACTTGGGTGTTGGTCAGTCTGTGTGTATCCATGTTGATTTTTAACCTCCTCTTTGTGTTTGGAATTGAAAACTCCAATAAGAACTTAAAGGAAAGTGATAGTGACACCAATAAGCCTGACTTTAACAGAAATGAAATGCTGACCCAAGACACTGTGTACATCCCGAATCCCAAGTGCACTGTGGTTGCCGTGTTGCTGCACTATTTCCTGTTGGTGACGTTTAGCTGGACTGGCCTCAGTGCTGCACAGCTCTATTTCCTTCTCATTAGGACCATGAGGCCTCTTCCTCAACGTTTCATTCTGTTCATCTCTTTAATCGGATGGGGTAAGCATTTGCGTTTCCACTTACTCAGAAATTTAATTTTGTTGAAATAACCTAATTTCAACAACCTAACGGCACAAGGGGAGATGGAAATCCAGCAGTCACTAGGAGTGCGCCTTCTGCCTGGTTGCTCACACTCCTGGGAAGGAGGAAGAGGTGATCACGCAGCTGTCCTAGTCACATCCTAAGCTAACCTCGAGAAGTTAATTTCCTTTCACATCTCTATTAGTTTCATTTGAAATTTAGACCATATATGATTAACTTTCTAGCTACTTAAAAAAAAAGTTTCAAGAACATCAAGAGTGACTCTAACAAAAATAATTTGAAAAATTTATTGGGTTCCAGCAAAGAATTGTGTGAATGATATCTAATTTAAATTTATTAAAGGGAAAGAGGAATTAGGCAGTTTAAGAATGGAAATTGTGGTAAGTGTTACAAAGAAATCAGAAATGTGTAAGATTAGTAGGTATAGCCAAAAATAAAAGAAAGAGGCCAGCAGTTACCGAAATATTATGTCCTCCATCCACCCACATCTGTAGATCATTTGGTATGTTGGCTACAGTGGAAGAAGAGTATAGTCTTGAAAAGGGTCAGATGTGTAACTCATTAATGTTCTCCTATAATTAATTCCAGTCTTGAGTAAATTATTAATTCAATGGCTCTCTTTTACCACATAGGTGTCCCGGCTATAGTAGTGGTTGTAACAGTGGGAATTATTTTTTCTCAGAGCGGTTCACAGTGGGAGTTAGATTACCGGCAAGAAGAAATGTGAGTTTATATATATATTTTTAAATGTCCATTTATTTGATATAAGAGTGTAACTGTTCAGTGATATATGAGTCCAAGTGTCACTGTATGTATGTGTCCCACTTTATAAGTATCATAAGTGAGTATTTCAAATTCTCAAACAACACATTATATTTTAAATGTAGTGACATGAAAGTTTCCTATGATAAATCCTTTTGTAAAGCTAGTTATTACCTTCTAAATTTATAACCTAAACTTTGTTAGATTTGTCTTCTTTTATTAAGGCTAAAAATCACAGGACACAATATGTGTGCTCCTTAGTAACCCTTTATCTTAGTTTTCTTATCTAGGAAATAGGAATAACAATGACAGTAATGTCCACTCTGAGGTCATGGTTAGGGGTCAAGAAAGTGTGAAGATGTTTTATAATTTGAAGAGCACTATCTGTACTTAAGACTGGTTTTATGTTGATATGATTAGAATGAATGTTTTATGATGATTTATCACACATAAAAAAATTCTCCCTGAGATTATAGTGTGAATAGTTGTTACTAATGGAAATACCCAACTGTATGGTGTTTGCTTTTTCTGCAAGGTAGGAGAGAAGAAATCTGAGCTGAGGGGTGCCTGGGTGGCTCAGTGGGTTAAGGGTCTGCCTTTGGCTCAGGTCAGGATCTCAGAGTCCTGAGATTGAGCCCCACATTGGGCTTCCTGGCTCAGTGAGGAGTCTGTTTCTCCCCCTCCCTCTGCTCTTCCCGCCTCCCTGTGCTCTCTCTTTCTCCCTCTTTCTCAGATAAATAAATAAAAGTCTTAAAAAAGAAAAAAGAAATCTGAGTTGAACTCTTTATGGGTATTACTTTTTTTAAAGATTTTATTTATTTATTTGTCAGAGAGAGAGAGAGGGAGGGAGAGCACAAGCTGGAGAGAGGCAGTGAGAGAGAGGAGCAGGCTCCCAGCTGAGCAAGGAGTCCAATGTAGGACTCCATCCCAGGACCCTGGGATCATGACCTGAGCCAAAGGCAGAGGCTTAACCAACTGAGACACCCAGGTACCACTTTATGTGTATTTCTGCTACCAAATGGCAAATGCTCTATAATTTATCATCCCCTCTCCTTTTATAATTCAACCATTCTTACCCCTTGGATTCCACCTTAAGTCTAAAAGCAACTAAAACAAAACAAAACAAAACTCTTGGAAATGTGCCAGTACAGCCAAGGGAAGATTGTGGTGTTAGGATGCATACCTATTTTCAAGGTTGACCATGCCCAACTTAAGAATAAGAGGCTATCTACCTGGCTTGGTTTTAGGAGCCAAAAACTCCAGGTACCACTTTTTCTGTTTAATTATGGTTAAATATCTTTTAATAAATTTAAAAAATTTAATTCCACAGTTACAGATCAGGAGTAAGATGCATCTCACAGGAGAAGTAGTTCTGTTCAAATTGCATCACTGATTTCCTACCTTAACTTTGGGACAGAGCTAGATCTACTCCTATAAAAAGCCTTCAGGAGAAAGAAGCTTACCATCTTAAATATATTCACACTGAACTATGAATAATTGAGAGCAGATTCTTTGCTGAGTACACTGTTAAATGTTAGGGAAGACACAAGGTGATGATAATAAGGGAAGTTGGGAAGAGAAGAAGGATGTTTAATGTAACATCTACCTCCTCTTAGACCCATATTCCCCACCTTTTATCCTATACACGTGGATCAAAGATCACATTTCTTTGGAATATATATAGAAAGAGGAGGAATTATTATTATTATTATTATTATTATTATTAGCTATCCTTCCAGCAGTTGCACCACCATATACCATGCTTTCCCCCAACTGCTCCCAGCTCTGCCAGTCATACCTGAAACCCCTAACCCACTTGCTACCTCTGCAAGAACCCAATTATGGGGTGATACCAAGGTAGGACTTACTCTTCATTAATGCTCCCTCCCCTGATTGTTGGTGCCACCATCACATAACCTGTTTCAGACTTTTCTGAAGGGTTGAGGTCACATGGGAAATTATAATGCCTGAGGGGGAAATTCTTTCCAAGTGTATGCTATATATGGGATAACACTGTCTTCATGATCTGTTTCATGGGGCAAAATCACTTGGAGCTAAACATTTCATCTGACCTCTACTTGTAATGCTCTCTAGATGTCAGTTCCATAGCTGTTTGTCAGATTAGCCTCCACTGTGTGCTCTCCAGTCTTAATTCTAGAAATTCCACTTTATACCTACAAGGGTTAGTCTGACTTCGGATCCATCTACCTTCTAGACAGTCTATTTCTCAAATCTGAGTTATTAAATTCAGAAAAACCATAGGAGAGGCTGTCATGAGAACAAATTGAGCATGACTATCTCTCCAAGTGGTACAAAGGATAGAGGGGCTGAGAAGGAGTCCTGTCCTAGTGCACAGTTCCTGACCACTGTGGATATCTAAGCTTATTTCCTTCCAGGTCTCCCTACTGGTAAGAGGTGGCTGAGGAATCCTGCATACATTCACAGGCATGCAGGCGTGCACGTGTACACACACACACACACACACACACACACACATCTATAGTACAAACAGTAATCCTAAGAAATGGTATTGTCTAAAGTTGAAACAACTCAAGACGCATGCAGGTAAGGATAAATATTTGTCTAATTGTTTGATAATTAACAAGTCTGCCTTTATCCAACACAGTTGTATTATTCTATTTTCTTCCTCTATCTTTTCTTCCTCCTTTAAACCCTCTAAGCTGCATAGATAAGAAATGTGTTCATCTTCTTCATTTGAAACTTCTGATGTTGACTTACTTAGTCACCAAAGAAGCTCTTAGAGTTCTGAAAGTACTTCTCAGAAGGAATTCATTAAATTCTCATCAAGTGCCCTCCCATTTCTTCTGCGTAGGAGATGGCAGAATGGAGAATGACAGGAAGGTTGTTCTCCAGTTAGCAATGAAAAGAATGCCAGAAGTCCTGAAGATAAACTCACTAGCTCTCACAATTTTATTTAAGGATAGACCTATTCTGTCTGTTAATAGAGTATAGGCATTCCTTTTTACTTTTTATTTCATTATAGAGACTTGAACATCCTGGTTTCCTTCTAGGTCATTCAGATTAGAAATATGATTTCTAATAATTTAAATTATAACAACATTGCAATACAAGACAATTTAGAAATCCTTTGATGTGTATAATAATACTGTTATACCTGCAAGGAAAGAAAACATACATTAATTGAATGCCAAATACATGCCAGGTCTTCTCATGTCATTTTGCTAATACCCAAATGCCCACCTGATACTGGCACTGGAGTGTCTAATAGGACATCTTGTGGTCTTCCCTCCCAAACTTGCTCTTCTTATCTTTACTCTTTCAGTTAATGGTAGTTCTGTCCTTCCCAGTACTCAGGTCAAAGAATTTGGAATCAGCCTTAATCTTCCTACATCTCACATCCAACCTAGAAATAAATCCATTGCTTTACTTTTGCATATATGTGGAATCAGACTATTTCCCAACATTTCCTCTTCTCACCCAAGCCACCAGATTATTGTAATAAACTCCTAGCCGATTTCTTACTTTTGCATGTGCTCTTCTATTATCCCTGCATCTAGCAAGACTAATAATTCCAAAACTCAAGATAGATGATTAAATAATGGGCAGAAGACATGAATAGATATTTTTCCAAAGAAGACATCCAGATAGCAAATAGATACTTTGAAAAGATGTTTAATATCACTCATCATCAGGGAAATACAAATCAAAACTACAGTGAGATATCACCTTACATCTGTCGGAATGGCTAAAACAAAACACAAGAAACAACAAGTGTTGGCAAAGACGCAGAGAAAAGAGAACCCTCTTGCATTGTTGGTGGGAATGCAAATTGGAGCAGTCACTGTGGAAAACAGTATGGAGGTCTTTAGGGTTTTCTATATATAGCATCACGTCACAAAGAAGAAATTTTTGGGTTTTTGTTGTTGTTGTTGTTTACTGCTAATATCTGATATCTAGAACTAGATATCACATAGCATGTATCCTGTTAATGCTTACCAAATAGATGAATTCATTCTTGTGACAATGCCAAGAAGTGATTACTATACTTTACTGATGAGGGAAAAAAAAAACCCCAAAATACCACCCAAACCATTTGCAACAATAACAACAACAAAAACCTCAAAACAGATGCAGTGAGGTTAAATAACTATTAAAATATTCTTAAACATTAAACTTTTAAAAATGCCCACTAATAAGTGACTATGTAAATAACCAAAACAAAATAATGGAGTAGTATTCAGCTATAAAAAATAATGACAGTCTTTATAATCACATCTAGAGTGATCTTCAAGATATGTTGTTAAGTGATAAAAGTACAATATGTTATTATTTGTTTAAAAATCAGAAAAAAATATTCGCTAGCATGTGCATAACCTAAATCCAGAGGAATACACAAGAGACATTGATTAGCACTGGTGATAGAAACTAGGTGACTAGGGATAGTTGTAGGGAGGGATAGTTATAGGGAGAGTTGTGTCTCTATGATGACTTGTACCTTTAAAATTTTGAGTCACCTCGATGTGCTACATGTTCACAAATGAGCGAAAACAGTAACTTGCCTGAAGTCAGACACCTAGTGAGTGATAGAATGACATTTACATTTGGGACTGCCTGATTTGAAAGTATTTTCTTTTCACTAGCCCATATATCAGAAAATATGGTAGAACTAAGTATTTTTTTTTTCCCTAGTGGATGAATTCTTGGAAGTCATTTCAAATATATAGAATGCAAAGAGATATTGGGTTTTAGCAGTTCTCTCAGTAACGTTAATAGCCCAGAGAATCAGTACGTATAACTTTTTTAATCTACTAAAATCATTTTTTTCTCCTCATAGCTGCTGGCTGGCAGTTTCAGGAAAAAATGGTCTTATAACAAGCTCGTTGTTGTGGTCATTCATGATGCCTATCACCATTATCCTCATCAACAATATTGTTATATTTATTATCATTATAGTCAAAGTGATATGGAAGACTAACCAGACTCTGACAAGGTAAGATTACCCATTAGTGGGATGCTCCCAGGCATTACTCATGCAGTACATAATACACCACCATGATGCATCCACAGATTCTAAACGGGTTTTCAGACTTCTGGGACAATGACAAGGATATGTGATTTGCAGGGTGGATTTTCTTTTAAATTTTGTCTCGAAAAGTAAATCTTCTCATCTTCCAATAATATAGAACTGCATTAACACACTTTCGTGCTGTATGAGCCCAACTAAAAACTAAATCCAAAGACTTAAAAAAAAAGAAAATTTCTCCCCCAATCCCAAAAATGCAAGAAATCAGATTTGAATCATTAAGGAAATGAGAAGATTGTGAGAAGATGCTGGTAACTGCATTTCATTTTACAAACTAGTAGCTTCAGGTTATATTTTGCATGTGTTTCTTGAATCTGATAGTGGCTTTAAGTTTTTTTAAATTAGTTTAAAACATAAAAATTGGGAGATTTAAAAATTATATTTTCTCTTGAAAAAATTGGAACTTCTGGCAACATTGTGTCTACATATCCGCAGGTGGGACATGTGTACTCTGGTCTATCCGTTCCCATGTGTTCTTAATATAATCTTCCTGACCTCAATAAGCCTTTTCATTGTTGTCCCTGGTAAACAAAAAGCTTTCGGTGGAGAGGTAAAGAACAGAAACTATTAAACAGGTATACTCTCCTTATCCATACCTTCAACATCACAATTGGCTAGAACACAGTGTTAATGAGGCCATGAATCCAGGTTTAATTTTATAAGACTCCATTTACCCCCAGTACATTTATTATAAGCACATCTGTGAGCTTTGTTGGTCACCAAGTGGATTCATTTGGTATGAACAGTTGGGTGAAAACAACTGACATTAGTGGGAATATCATCTTAACTATGTGCTTTACTGATCAAGAGTGAGTATCATCTTTCCGATATGAATGGTAATCCATATTGAGGGGAAATGTGGGGGAAAAGACTATAACTGATAATCATTCAAACCTTTGTTTTATTAGCAGTGCAGAAACATCTTGGTAAAATCTTCTTAGCCTAATTGCAGAGTAAGTTATATTTCCTCTATACAAAACAGTATCATTTTGGCCACAGACAGCAACAAATTTCTATTTCTAGATTTTGGCTGACGGTTCATGGTTCTTAAATTGGCTTAGTCACAGTAAAAAGCAGGTTACCACTTAATTTAACAAATTATCTTTCATGTATCAGTTAGCTTTTGCTGCATAGCAAACCACCCCAGAACTTACTAGCTTAAAGTGACAAATATTTATTATTTGTCGTAAGTTTGAGTGTTGGTCAGGTACTTGTTCTTGTCTTCACAGACTTGATTATGGATGGACAGTCTAAGATGACTTATTTTGTGCTGGTGGTGGTTGGGTGGTTGATTTTGAGTGGAAGCTGCTCAGTTGGGAAAGCTAATCTCTGTTCCGTGTAGTCTTTCATCAACAATAAGGCCAGTACAGGCTTCTCAATATAGTGGTGTCAAGGTGCCAAAGAACAATAAAAAAAGGCCAGCTCTACTGAGCAAAATGCTTTCAAGCTTCTGCTTGTGCCAATAATTGCTAAGATCCCATTGGTAAGTCATATGGCTGAGTTCAGATTCCTACATTTCTATATCTTAATAACCTTTCATTCTCATATCAACCTACATCATGGCAAGGTCCCAGATGCCCAGAAAAGGAGTTTCTCATTGGCTGATCCACAATATAATCACCAAGATAAAATTCCTTTCCAAAGAAAACATTGATTTGTGTGTGTATGTGTATGTTTGTGTGTGTGGTACTTGCTTGCAATAGAGTGTAAAGGACTGTTTATGCCTGAGCTTTTAAGCAAGTATCACTGTATTCCTTAATGAAGCTTGCTAAATCAGATTTTACCCAGATGTAGGTCTAACATGGTTTTCTACCTAATGCATAATATTGTTAAATAGTATATATGGCCATCTGAATATTCACAATTAGAGGGTAACACTGATATTAATAAGTAAAATGATATTAATAAATAAAACCATGTTTTATTTCTTGCTTTCTCTTACCTAGCACAAAAAAGGTTTCATTCCTAAAGAAGATTCTTAGTACGTTATCTATTACAGTTGTTTTTGGAGTTACCTGGATTCTGGCATACTTTATGCTGATTGGTAATGATGACGTCAGGGAGATCTTCAGCTACATGTTCTGCCTTTTCAACACTACTCAGGTATGGTGTGGATTAGTCTGAAGGTAGCAGATCATGAAGTAGTAGGGATGATACTACCCTGGGCTAAACTAAAGGTGACTTTAAAGGTCATTACTTGGATACCTTTAGGAGACTATTTTCAATACATTTTGAAGAGGAAAGAAAGCTCTTTATGACTTATTTTATAAGGTACAGTTCATGGGCACAGTTCATAGGATATAATTGCAGTATGGTTAGACCACGTTAGTCCCTCTTCTCTTAGCAGAAGAGGTTTTGTCCAGCAACTGGCTTGGCAAACACCTCCTGACTCCTTTTCTCCCATGTAATAGGTTCATGGCAGCTCCTCACCGTAGTTGATATGGTTGATATGGATAATGTTATGGTTACTGTTGGAGCTTAGACCCCTGTGGGGTTAGCTGAATTTTTTTCTTTATCTCTCTTTTTAAAATTTTATAAGATTATGTCATTAATCTTAAAAAAATCTTTATTGAGGAACAATTGGGACTAATTGGCAGATACAATTGTATATATTTAAAGTGTATAACATGACAATTTGATATACATATATATTATGGAATGATTACCAAGATCAAAATAATTAACACATCCATCACCTCACGTAGTTGTTGAGGATTCAGGCATTTACGTTCATCAGGGATACTGGCCTGAAATTTTCTTTTCTATAGTATTCTTGTCTAGCTTGGTATCAGGGTAATGCTGACCTTATAAAATGAGTTTGGAAGTGTTCCGTCCTCTTCAGTCTTTTTGAAAGAGTTTGAGAAGAATTGGTATTAATTATTTTTAAAATTCTTGTTGGAATTCACCTGTGAGGTAATCTGATCCTGGGCTTTTCATTATCAGGAGGTTTTTGATTACTTATTCAATCTCCAAACTTTTTACTGGTTTGTTCAGTTTTTCTGTTCTGTTACTTTGTTATTCAGTGTTGGTAAGTTGTGTGTGAATGTTTTATTTCATTTCTTTAAAATTTATTGATAATTGCTTTATGGCCATGAATTGGTATATCTTGATAAAGTATTTATCCTTGGAAAGAATGTGCATTCTGCAGTTGTTGTGTGTAGTGTTCTAAAAATGCCAGTAGGGTCAAAGTGATTGTTAGTAATGTACAGATTTTCTATCCTTACCAATATTCTTGTGTTTCTCTCAATTGCTGAAAGAGGAGTATTAATATCTCTAACCATGATTGTGAATTTGTCTATTTTCCCTTTAATTCTGTCAATTTTTGCTGCATACATTTTGAAGTTCTGCTATTAGATCCATATACATTTATGGTTGTGGTGTCTTCTGAGTAAATTGACCATTTATCCTTTGGAAATGTTCCTCTTTAACTCTGAGTACTCTTTGTCATAAAGTCCATTTTATATGATCTTCAACCTTCTTATGCATATTGGCTGAATTGTATATATTTTTTAAATCCATTCACTTTCAACCTGTGCTTTTACATTTAAAGTATGTATCTGGTACATAGCAAATAGGCAGGTCTTACCCTTTTGTTTATTCTGACAATCTCTGTCTTTTAATTAGAGTGTTTAGTACATTTAAAGCTGATGTAATTATTAATATGGGTGATTTATATCTACCATTTTACTATTTGTTTTCTGTTGCCATTCTAGTTCTTTATTCCTCAGTTTACTTTCATTTTTGAAGGATATTGTCATGAATATGGAATAATGGGTTGATAGTTTTTTTTCCCCTTTTAATGTTATGAAGTCATTTCACAAACTTGCTCCAGTTTCTGATGAGACATCCTCAATATTTTATATTCTTTTCCCCCTGTATGTAATGAATTATTTCCTTTGGTTGCTTTCAAGATTTTTGATTTTTGAATATCTTTGATTTTTAGCATTTTCCTTTGCATTTATTCTGATTGGGGTTGCCGAGTTCCCAGAATCTGTTTTTTTATATCTTTCACCAAATTTGAGGAATTTTTTAATCTTTATTTCTTCAAATAGTTTTTCCTATCCTGTTCTTTTACTTTTCTCTTTTTTGGGGACTTTAATTATATGTATGTTGGACCATTTGATATTTTTCCACAGGTCTCAGAGCTGTTTATTCTTTCTCATTCCTTCTTGCTAGTCATCAGATTGATTATCTTAGTGATCCATCTTCAAGGACATTTATTTTACCTTTAGTCATTTCCAGTCTGCTGTTAACTCTATCCAGTGATTTTTATTTCAGAGATTGTACTTTTTTAGTTCTACCGTTTTTATCTTATTATTTTTCATAGATTTATTTTGCTGATATTTCCTAATTTTGGCTCATTATGAGTATATTTTCTTTTACCACACTATGCATATCATCATAAAACTTTAAAATCCTTGTCTGCTAACTCTGACATCTGGGTTATTTTAGTCAATCTCCATTGTTTGCCTTTTTGGTTAGTATGAGCCATGTTTTCCTGTTTCTTTAGTATGAGCCATGTTTTCCTGTTTCTTCATATGTCTAGTAATTTTGGTTGTTTCCTGGACATTTTAAATAATACACTGTAGCAACTCTTCATTCTGTTTTATTCCTACCAAGAGTAGAGTTAGCATATAATTAATTTAGCTGGACTAAAACTGAAAACTATATCTCCTAGGGAAGACAACAGTGGAAATCTCTGCTTAGTTATTTTAGTCTCAGACATGCTTCTTAGACATCACTCCATGCATTTATAGTTCAGAGGTCAGTAAGAGACTTGGGCAGAATTTATAAGCAGAATCTGGAGCTCCCCCTCTCTGTTTCCTCCTGGATATTCTGAATATTCTTACTTACTTTTCAGATTCTATAGTTTCCCTATACCCTGTTTTGCAGTTCTTCAACCTAGTAAGACAGCCTTTTAATTCCAGGTTTATTCACCCTATGTGGGGTGATTAGACTGTGTTTTCTGGCTAAAAGATATTAAAAATAAAACAAAACAGGAATCCTACCCAGTTACAGTTCCCTTTTTCCCAAATTCCAACTCCTAGATTCTCCTTCCAGTTTCAGACTGCTTTTAGTTGTTCTTCAGTGTATTCAGGTCAGTTTTAAAAAATATTTTGTCTAAAGTTTATAGTTGCTATCTGCAAGAGGGTTGATTTGAAGAGCAGAACCTTATGAAGTTGTTTTTGTAACATTATACATAAGACTGAAGGTGTTTTTATTCCTTGAGTCTTATCTCAAATATAATTATAAATCTTTAAAAAATATTCCATTCTTATTTTGTTTTAAAACAGGAAATGCAGATTTATATTCTTTTTCTTTTTTGTAACCTATTCTATTAGTATATTAGGGGCATTTATTCTAAGAAGCAGAACATTTAGACTAAGGATTATGGTCACCTTCTAATTTTTTTCATGGCAAAAATAGTGACATGAATGAACAAAAATGTTAGATTAAAAATGAAGATAATCCTGTTTGACCTTAGGGGATTTTTGTTTGTATATATGCATGGAGAATGTCGAACTCTAAGATAAAACAAGTATGCATTTTTGAAAGACTTATCTTAAAATCAGAATTTCTCTCTTTGCTTCTTAACTCTGTGCCTCCTCTCATGGTGAATAATGGCTTTTACTCTGATAAAAAATACTACAAAGACTTTTCCTTCTGTATATAGAGTCTTACTGTTTGTCTTTATACAATTTAATGCTGTATTATCATGTTCCTAGAAATTTATGGGTATTGTATATTTCTGGTATATTACATCTTTTATCATTATAACAAGTCACTTTTGGTCCCTTTTGTCTTGAAATCTGATTTTCCATATATTAATGCAGCAACTTCAGTTTTGTTTTTCTTTGATCTTATCTATTTATATAAGGTTTTTTTAATCTTTAAGCTTTCTTTATCACTTTGATTTTGTTTTACCTCTTCTTAGATCCCATATATTTAGATTTGTATTTTAAAATAATTTTCTCATTTTTTTTTTCATTTTATTAAAAAAGTGAAATTTTTAGCTATTTAGTTGAATTTTAGCCATCAAAACTAATATGTTTGATCTTATTCTTGTTATGCCTGAGTTTTTGCATCAGAGAGACCACCATGGAGCCAAGCACCGATGCAATCACACGAGGGTTTATTTGACAAGCTTAAGCTTGGGCCCAAGTATACCCGACACAGTGGAGTAGGGACTTGGACCCCGAGCCAGATTACAGTCAGAGTTTTTAAAGGCAGAGTAGGGGTGGACTTGGTGGTGGGTGAGGACAAAGGGGGTTATGGATGATGTAAGTCTCTAAGGAATTTTGGAAGCGAGGTCTCTAGGACCTTGAGGGGCTACCTGTTGTCTGGGGAAAAGGTTATTCATTACCAATAATAAAAATCTTCTCGTGAGACCCTCTAGATGTATATCAGTGGGTCATATGCTTGGGAATGATCGCTGACACTATCTTGGAGGTTTAGAGATAAAGTTTCACATTTATCCTATCAAGTGTCCTTGTTATTGAGATTTAGGTTAGGAGAAATTTAACTTTATTTAGGGCTTGAGGAACTGAGTTATTTGCCTCTGGAAATTGTGCTATTGTTAAGATAGCTTCTTTGTTGTAAATCTCTGGGACATTGGTAAACCAAGGAAGACTCCTGTCTTGCAGGATTGTGATCTCTGCAAGTTAACTATTTGCTTTTCCCCCAGGGCAGCCAGGGGTGGCTGAGGAATGTCACACGTACTACGTACTACCGAGGGGAGGGGAGCGGTTGGAGAGGAGGGTGCAAGGTGCCAGCCTCCGCTTTGCCAAGATGGCTGTACTTATGTCAGGGCTAGACTCAAGATGGGTACAGCCTTGTTTTTCTTGGCCTCCACAATTCTGTCATCTTATTTTCTTTTTTCACATCAATCCATTTCTTCCTAAATTTTATATATATATATATATATATATATATAGTGCTACAAAAATTATGCTTTTACTTAAACTTCTCTAATTATTAGGACATTTCCATTCTGTTAATTATTTGTTTATAAAACATTACTATAGCTTTGTAAGATACAATTTTCAATTTCCAGAATAAAACAATGTATGTTGATTCCTCCCTTTTTAAGGTAAAAACATTAACACAATGTTGCTGCTTCCTGTCTCTTGGTTTTATTGGTACAACTTAAAATTTACTCTGCAACTATTAAATTAGAGTGTGCACATTATTTTATTTCAAGAGACATTTATAATACTTTGATTATATTTGATAATTATCTCAATATATTTTCTTTTCTTTAAAAATTTTTTTTATCAAAGTATAGTTGACACACTCAACTACAATTTATTATGCTTAAATAGTCTCAATGCCTTTTGCTAGTCTTTTTATATTGGAATGTCCTGTTATTTTGACTTTTTATCTTAATGAATCTCTCACTGGTATATTTTTGAGTAATTATTTATAGGAAGCTGGTAAATATTAATGAGGACTTTCCTCCCTGGTAATTTTTCTTTAGGTACCATGACACATAAACCACAAATTAGGCTGGAATTTAATTATTGTCAGTAATCTTTTTTTATTGAAATTCTGTAGACTTACTGAGATTTTATGTTGTGTAAAAAGGTCAAAATTCTTTTGTTTTTTATTCTTCCCATCCTTATGCAATTCCTTAAAATTTTTTAAAAAATAATTTTGGACTCCTAGGATGTTGCAAAAATAGTGCAGAGAGTTCTTATGTACCCTTCACCCAGCTATTGCAACAATAACATCTTACGTAACTGTAATACACTGTCAAACCCAGGAAACTGACATTGGTATAATCCACATAGATTATTCACTTATGGGCTTTAAACCCTTGAAGTGATAACTTTAATTCTAGCTTTGTTCATTTTACTATGAATTAAATCAATAAATATAATTTATCAAATTAAATAGAATTATTATAGTTTTGTAAGTTCATTTGTCCCCTTTCTTCTTGTACTCAGAAGTTAACTTTTTATGCATTCCAGTTTCATTTCCTTAACTAGATTTCCAGTTCTCTCATGCAAGAAATATGTTCCTGTGTATCTTTCATTGTAGATAACATCTTGTTTGATATCAGGATGGGCTATACTTGTCTAATATTTTGTGATGAAACTGCAGCTTTTGATGATTGTCTTGTTGTCACTGAGAGTAGTAACTGCTGTGGGTGGTTGGTATCATGTTGGTTGTTTCTGGCCCTGGCCAAATATCACTGAGGAGACAAGTCTTTGATACAAAATGGAAACTACTGGAAAGCATTAGATGAATTTGATTGGACCACAAATATCTAGGAGTCTGTCTAGCCAGGTGTGGGAGCTGCTTGGCTGTTTAAATTGTAACTGCCTCATTTAACGTTTTATGTTTGTAAGCACCTCACCCTCTATTCCTGGTGGCCATTTCCAGTGTCTTTTGAGAATTACTGCCTCAAGCAATGGATGTTTACCTGCCACTAAATTTAAATGAATATAAGGCAGTGTTTCTCTGTTGTTAACACATAATGGAAACTCCCCAGAAGGGAAATAAATAGGATAATCTTAGTCTGGATTGCCAGTGACTCATGGGTTTGTAGCCTAGAGTGATGAAGAATTAAGAAAAGTACCTGGAAGGAAGTATAATCAAGGATATTCTGTCCTCCATGCATATGAAGGGCACATTATAAAATAGAGGCTCATTACAAAATGTTAGTACTATCTGGTAAAATTGAGCATGGTCATATGGCAAGAGCGCTGGGCTAAAAGGAGAGTCAGGCTGTCTTCCAGTTTTACCATTAATGATTATATGTTTTTAGGGAAGTCTTACAACCTCTCTGAGTGAACTATGTAAAATATAAAATGGAGGGGGGTTGTTAAAGTTGGTGCTGTGGATCTGAATATTATTGTCTACATGAGAATTATTCCTGGGCTACCTAGTTAGTCACAATCTATGGGGTAAGAGCTAGAAATCTTCACTTTAAACAAGGACTTGATTTTTATGTACACTAAAGTGAATAGTTTACATGTAAGGCTCCTTCTAGATTTAGAATGCTGTAATTCTAACAGACATTTACTAAGTGCTATAGATACTACTTAAAAAGAATTAGTTTGATCCATACATTTTGTGTTTTTCAATAACATCTTTGGGATTCTAGGGAGTATAGAAGTATTGGGATTCCACTCACACAGTTTCACACGATGGTGTCTTTATGAATTCTCCATGGTCTAGGTCTTTTTTTAATAGTTGCACAACCAGAAATTTTATCCAGTCTGTCTTTGCTTTAGAATTAAAAGTGAAAGAGTGTACTCCACAAAGAGTACCAGATTTCTCATATCCTCAAAATAAATCTTTTTCCCTTGAACAATCAGGATGGCCAGTGACCACTTTTGCCCTTCTGAAACCTATGTCCTATCCATCCTTCCTTGCGTCATCAAGACCTTCATCAGAGAAGTAAATCCCACCTGTTGGATAATGATCAAGTTAATCTTCCTGTTTTTGATCAGAGAACTGGTCCATCTCTTGTCAATATGTACTGATTTTATTAGTTAAAGTCACAGGGTCTTTGGGTTATCTTACCAGAGCCTCAGAGTCTTCTACAACAGTATTCACAGGATATGATTCTAGAGATAGTTCCTTATAAGGCTTGGGCCCTAGAGATGTTAATCTGGAGACATTATGGATTTTTTAAAGTAACTTTTTATTTTCAAATAGTTTAAAACAGGAAGTTGCAAAAATAATATAGAGTTCCCAGGTATTTTTTCCCCCAGCTTTCCCAATGATAATATCTTTTTAAAAATTTTTATTTATTTATTTATTTATTTGTTTGTTTATTTAAAAGATTTTATTTATTTGAGAGAGAAAGAGGGGGAGCAGCAGGCAGAGGGAGAGGGAGAAGCAGGCATCCCACTGAAGAAGGAACCCAATGGGGACTCGATTCCAAGATGCTGAGATCATGACCTGAGATGAAGGCAGCCGCTTAACTGATGGAGCCACCCAGGTGCCCCCCAATGATAATATCTTATATAACCTTAATGCATCATCAAAATCAAGAAGTGAACATTGGCACTGTTACTCAACTACAGATGTTAGTCTGTTATTTCCAATGAAGGATATTAATGAAAAATTAATGAGGGACTCTTAGAAGCTGTCATATACTTTATAATATCCTTCTAATGCTCTTCAAGCAAGAGACAGAGTAGTATATTGGCTAGAAGAGTTTTGGAACAAAATGGAGTTGAGTCCAACTTCAGAGGCCAGTGATTATTGGTTGGGTAATCTTAGGGGGGGTTACCTAATTTATCTGAGCTATAGTTTTCTCATCTGTAACATGGGGATAGTAAGGCTTATTTATAGGGTTGGTGTTAGGAGTAAATGAGAAAGATCAAATGATGGGATTAAATGACAAGCAATGTCTGATACCAGTAAGACTTCATTAAGTGGCAGTTTTCATTTTAAATGTGTACAAAAAATGTATTCAGCTTTTGTGGATTAATTTCTCATGCACATCTGATCTTTGTATATAAAGGACAGAAAAACAATGAATAGAAGTACTTACAATTTTTGTTTTGTTCTTAAATGCAGCAAATTTTTAGTTATTTTGTCAAAATACCAAGTACTGTACAAGCATAGAATGTTAGAACTGGAAGAAGTATTAAGTGACCCACAGTCCATCTGCCTCCTTCAGAAATTGAAGATAAAAGATGTGAGGAAAAAAGTGAAGTTACTATGGTATACTAAAACGTAAATATTTGGTCTTTGTCCTCAGTTCCTGGCACACCGGTCCCAAAATTTGAGAAATCTGTGGAGTGATATGAGTGTCTTTTATATACTAATGAATGACTGGTGGCTGAGGTCACTAGATAGCTTCAGGCTGGAGGCTTGTTACCAGAAAGACCAAACCTGGATTAGAAGCTTGGAAATTTCAACTCCACCTCTAGGAAGGGGAGAGGGGCAGGAGATTGAGTCAGTCACCAATGGCTAATGATATAATTACCAAACCCGTATAATGGAACCTCCGTAAAAACCCCTAAATGAAGGGGTTTGGAGAGCTTCCAGGTTGGTGAACACATTGAAGAGCTGGGAAGGTGGTGCCCCTTCGCCCGCACCTTGTTCTAGGATCTCTTCTGTTTGGTGGTCCCTGAGTTGTATCCTCTATAATAAACAGGTAATAGCAGGTAAAGATCTTTCCTGAGTTTTGTTAGTAGTTCTAGTGAATTATCAAACCTGAAGCTGCGAGGTGGGTTGTGGGAACTCCCGACTTTGTAGTCAAGTCAGACAGAAGTGTGGGTAATGTGGGGACCAGATATTTCTGACTAGCATCTGAAGTGAAGGCAGTCGTAAGACTGAGCCTTAACCTGTAGAATCTGACACTACCTCTGGGTTTCTAGTGTCAGAATTCGGCTGAATTATAGGAACACCCATTTGGTGTCAAGAAGAGAAAGAGCCTCTCAGTGATAGAGCCAACATGTGGTGAACTGGGATCTGAATTAAGGTCTTCTAACTCTACTGCTTATATGTAGCACTTTCCATAGGAGAAGAACCTCACCTCAGCCCTCTGAGACAATAAAGTGCTCAGCCGCTGCGGGTGCAAACTTGAGCTGGGGAGTTGTTGTACATGATGAAAAGGGTGGATGGCACAGTTAAATAAATCTCTTCACTGATTCTGTATTTCAATAGGATCTAACATTAACCTTTTATTCTATCTGCCAGGGATTGCAAATTTTTATCCTCTACACTGTCAAAACAAAAATCTTCCAGAGTGAAGCTTCCAAAGTGTTGAAGTCGCTGTCAGAGTCCACTGGGAGAGTGAAGCTGCTGCCATCAGTGACCCCACTGAGGCTTCGTTTGAGGATGTATAACATGCTCACGTCCTTTCCAGCCCTGAATGAACGCTTTAGGCTGCTGGAGCCATCTGTTATTATGGAGGAAATGACACCCTCTGAAAGTGACCAAGCCGACTCAAGCATCTAGACAGTGAAATTAGTACCTTTTGTAATCCTCTTTTTGCATAACTCATGTTAAGTTTTGCTTATTCTTTTTCTTTCCTTTATTACTCAGTCCTCCCAGAAAGCCTCCCTCAATATATTTAGCTCAAGGCTAAGAATCAGGTAAAACCTGTTGTTTGTTATCATCCGGGATAACGGATTTGGTAGTTTTTTTCTATTATTCAATAGAGTCTCACCTGAATTCCACCCAGCATTCAAGATAATTCAAAATATCATTGTTACTTATATCATAAATGTGACAAACTTTGATAAAACAAATTCTTTTACAGTTTCCTGAAAAGAACATGAGGAGAAAATGTATCTTCCAGAACAAAATGACTCTTAATGAACCCTGCAGGGAGTTGCTTATATATATATAATACTTTTGGTCTGTGACTATCTTAATTTGTATGTACTTATACTTTTATTTCTGCTTCAGGATTTTGCACCAGTTTAACCTCTGGAAAGGGATATTTTTTTCTGTTCAAAGAGAGCATGTTTGGTGACCAGAGGGTTTAGCTGTATAAAAAGTGGACAGTGAGACACAAAAAGATGGGCTGGTTATGAAAGCCTCTCTGTATTTCTTTCTGGTTCTTGATACATCTGTCCTTTTATTGATGAAGAGACATTGAGACTCAAAAAATGAAAAGTTAGTTACAAGCACCACTTACGGCTTAAAAAAGAAAATAACTGTTGATGGAATTTCAAACACTTGAATTATGAATGGCTTCCTGAATAAAAAATGACCTCTACAAGACTGGGGAGCATTCCCACTGAACTTAGGAGATACAGTCTTTGAATTGTGGTGTTTGTCTTGTCACAAGCTAGGCAAGTGCTATGAGTGCCCTGAACTAAGGGACTAGTAAATGCCATGTGAGCTGTGCCATACCCTTCTCACCAGACCCTAAAGGACATGTGTTTTTTTTTTTTTTTCTAGAAATGGTTGTAAATGACTGTTGGATTCCTAGACAAGCTGAGAGCCTATTTTATCTGTGGCATAACTGAGGCCTTACAGGTTAATGGGAAAAAGTAAAGGGAAAAGGATAAAGAAGAAAAGCAGTTCTCAGAGGTTAGTGTTTTTAGTAGTGGTATAGTATTATTCCTAGATAGGGGTTGGAAAAATTATAAGGTGTGGTTGACCTATTCCATATCCCAAAATTTATATGTGGATGGAAGTAAACTTTAAATAAGAGCCACTTTAAAGTGAAAAGAAAGATGGCCAAAGAGCTTTCTTTAGCCTGAGAGTGGAGTATATGTGTTCCCTTGGTGATTTTAGTTTTCTTTGCACTTTTTCAGTCTTCTTGGGAGTACAGCAACCAAAATTCCCTATAATTTTCCTGGGATGGCTATACCAAAAATTTGAAAACTTTACATACAGATTATAGGGGATAAGACAGCAGACATTGATGTTTGTCTGCCTACCCTGAAATCCTACCACTTTGGAAGTAATTCTTATTGATTTAAACCTTTGCCTAGTACAGTGGTCAGGAAGTTTAGTGATAGAAATCAACTCAAAGTAGGTTAAGGGTCAAAGAGAATTTAATGGCTCAGTTAATTATCAAGTCCAAAGGCTGAGCCGGTTTTAGGTAGGGTAACTATATGTCCTAGTTTGCCTGAACCGGTTCTGATTTGTACCTGTTATCCTGACTTATGTATTATAAGCAGTTCCTTTAACTCTCAAGTGTCCTGGTTTAGGACATAAGATATATGATAATACAAAACTTTAGGTCTAGAATTCAAAAGCAAGGAGTTCAAAGAATGTGTTAAGATTCCTTTTCTCCCCTGGTTTCCAGGGTCTTTATCCTGTGTTTGACTCTATCCTAGAACTGGATTACATGGCTGAACATTGGCCATTGGCATCCCCTTTCTCATCCCCTTTCTCTTCCATTTCAGGGAAGGCAAGTTGAGTCTGGAATCTGTGGGGCTCAGTTACTTGTGATACAAAGTAAAGCAGAGGCAGAAAGAGCAAAGGAGCAAAGAACTGGCATATCTTCCTTGGTCATGTGCCCTCATGTGCCCACAGGCATCGTGTTCATGGAATATTGGGCCAGCCTGAGTCCCATGACCCCTGTGATATGGAGGGATGGGGGATGACTTCATTGGCAGGATATCCTGGGGTAGAGATTGGATACAATCTCTTACATTGAGCATGGGCTCATTGATCATGTCTCTTACTCTGAATAAGCCTGTTAGATCCTTGTCAGAGCAGAGTTTGAATGGGGTGGGTAAGGAAAGCAAGAATTAATTATTTGGTGCTTTGGAAGTTGAAGAGCAAGTACAGGGACAATGGGAGCCAAACGGGGATTTAACTTAAAAAGAAAATTTCAGGAAAGGGAGACTCAGAGTACTGGTTCTCATGATATTACGTGGAGCTAATTTTCCATGTTTCTGATTTATTCTGTGTGATAACAATGCCCTGTAGCCTGTCTGCTTGTGGCAACACATGTAGTTTCTTTGGGGGAACAAACTATCCTGACCTTTAGATTTTCTTTCCTGGGTCTAAGCTGACAATTCAGTGCTGCTTGTTTAACTGTTGGAGTTTTGGATTGCTTTTTCTCTTACCCTTCCCATTTTTAAGTTTATCCCCCCCACCTTTTTTTGTTGTTGTTACCAACCAAGGGAGATTGTTTTCAAACTCATTGCCTCATTTAAAAGAATTTGGCATTCTTTGCAAATGTTTGGGAAACCTGGACCAAAAGTGCCAAATGTGTCATATCCACCTGACAACCACTGGAGCTCTCTGGCTCTGTGGAGCCCCCTTAATATATCTCCCTGGGACCTCTAGTCCCTGACTCCTTGATGAGGTCCATGACAGAGATACCAGGATTAAGTTCCATTCCTGGGACAAGCATGGGGGGTGGGGAAAGTTACTGAGAGAGGAAATGGTTTCCTACTTGCATTTTTCAAACACTGCTGAGTACGTTATGACAATTTTGGAAGATATTTAAAAAGTATATTTTTCAAAAAAGCAAAATTCATAATTTCCTGCCCTATCAAAGATGGCTGTTTTTCCGTGTTTTCTTAGGCTCTTTGAATACATTAGAATTTAAATAACTGTAGTTACAGTAGATACAATTTTATATTGATTTCACTTAAATTACCCAGTAATGCAGTTTTTAAAAATAATTGATTACATAATATAATTTACTAAATTCTCCTGGATTTCCAGCTTAATTTGATTTTTAATATCACAGTGACACATAATAAACTGGTATATATATATATATATCTTTTCCTTTTTAATTATTTCCTTAAGGTAAACTCTCAGGATTAGGATCAACATTATCAACATCTGTTTACATTCCTTATATATATTATTATATTGCCTTGAAAACATTGCACTAATTTATAATGTCACCAACATTTGGAGTATCATAAACATTTTTTATATACTTATTTACTTTGGTATTTTATTTTTCAGTTATTTGTGTTGTCCATTTATCAATTGAGCTATTGTTATTTTTTCCTCATAAATTTGTAGGAATTCCTCTTACTATAGTTACTAGTCTTTTAATGATACATTTGATGAAAATATTTTCCTCTAGCTTGTCATTTTCCCCTCTTTTTAATATAATGAAATGTTCACTCCACAGTTGATTCAAAATATGCAAAAGATTTCTAGAGCATTTAGCATGTTTTTGAGTTTCTATGTCCTCATACAGCCAGAGTATTTTTCATTTTGTGTTAAGGAATATGTTAGGGACAATGCAGAAACTTCTAAAATGAACAGGGACATAAATATGCCAACCGAGGCCAAATGAGTCATGTATGACAGACACATGACTTCTTTAACTCTTCATTATATTGTACAGCAGGCAGGTGGCCTTCCACGAGAATGTTATTATTTTCTCTCAAATACATTTTCCGTCTCTGTGCCCATCTACCTTTTCTTAAAAATAAAACACTAAATCTTGGGAGAGAAGTTTTATTAGGAATTACTTATTAAAACACACATACAAAACTCAGATTCAAAGTAGTGTTACATATGCATCATCTATTACTTCATTTACATATATATAACCTATTATTTGTGTATTTGGGAAAATATATAAAAGCTGCTGAAAAACTGATTAAATAAGGAAATCAGGAGGAAGGGAAAATAATCATAGGAGCAAAGAAGGTAGGCCCCAAGAAACATGTCAGATGGTCTTGTATTTTTGCTGGGAGTCGGTTTCAGATTAAACCAGAAGCTTCCTGACACCCAGCATAAATAGGGAAACACGATCAAAGAAGTCATGTATCTCTTAAAAATTAAACAAACCAATAAACCTATATTGGCCAAAACATAGCTATTCTGACACTACTTGAAACTGGCATTACATTTTCTGTCCACCTGGCTATATTACCAAAATAGAGGGCATACTATTTTGAGTGAACAAAAAGGCCATTGCAATTGGAAATGCAGCATGTTCACATCTACGCCAGTTTGCTAAGTGCACATACTAAACAGTCATGTGTAACGTTCAGTGTTGCTCCAGTTATACAATGCTCTGTATATACGAAGACATGCACTGAACCATAGGAAACTTCAGTATCACCAGTGGGTCACCAGAGAAAGTGTTTTGTCTTTTAAAAGAGTATTAAAGTGGTTTTCCTTAATTTTGGCTATTGGAATTAGTTTTCTGTTTTGTTTGTTTGCTTTGGTAGGGGGCTTGCTTTTTTTTTTAAACCTTTAAATTAACTTCATTGATAATTTATGCAAAATAAAATGCACCCATTTTAACTGTAAATTAGATGTTTTAACAAATGAACACACCTGTGAAACCACTACCCTAGAGAAGATTAATCACTTTTTCATCACCCTATACCATTCCCTTGTATTCCTCCCCAGTTAAATCCTCTGCCAGCGCCAACCCCAAGTAACTACTGATCTGTTTTCTATTACCAGGCATTAGTCTTGCACATTCTAGAATGCCATAAATGTTATCACGTCCTCTTTTGAGCCTGGCTGCTTTCAGTCACCATGTATTTGAGATTCATTCATGCTGTATCAATCAATGGTTTGCTTCTTTTTATTACAGTGGTGTTCAGATTCTTTTTTTTTTTTATAAATCACATTTTGTTTTGAAAACTAGGAATAAAACTGATAGAAATATTCTTTTTTTAAAAGGGTTTTTTTATTTTAGAAAGAGAGAGAGAGAGTGAGAGAAAGAGAGAGAGGAAAAGAGAGAGCATGAGCCGGAGGGTCAGAGGGAGAGGGAGAGAGAATGTCCAGCAGACTCTGCACTGAGCACAGAGCCAGAAGCCGACTCAGTCCCAGGACCCTGGGATCATGACCTGAGCCAAAACCAAGAGTCAGTTACTTAACTGACTGCAGCACCCAAGTGTCCCCAAAACTGATATAAATATTCTTGTATAAGTCTCTGTGTTTTCTTTTCTCCTGAAATATCTAGTAGTGGAATTTCCGAAGCATAGAATAAGTGTATATTTAACATTATAAGAAACCAGTAAACAGTTTTCTGAAGTTGTTGTACCACTTTATAGACCCCAGAGCAATATATGAACTTGGAAATTAGTTTTTAAAGGTCCTTATTTATGAAGCATTTCAAAAGTAGAAATAAGATATAAATCTTTTTTGCAAGGTACTGATCATGTTTCTGTAAAGTCCCATTGCTTAACAGGTTAACCCCCTATTTTAATAAAGAAGGAAAATGTAAAAGCAAAGCAGAGTGGTATGATTAAAGGCTGTTATCATTTACACACTACATTTCCCAGATAACTGTAGTCCAATCCTTATCTTCTTCCAGTACAGCTCTTGTTACACGTGGAAGAATGACATTGATAATTTGCTGAACTTTGGTAGAAGCTGCTATGCAACCATGTTGTAACAATTGAGACCTTCTGGACCTTTGCAATAACAAAAAAAGAAGACTGGTTCTTCTGGTCACAGTACTTACCAAGCAGTGGCGGATTAGGGAAGCATTCTGGACTGGGAGCTGTGGTCCCAAC